ATCTGCGCGAATTTATTCCGCCTCCATCGTCGCGCACTCAGATTGGCATCTTTCCCGTTCCCTCTACCGTGAGGGACGGAGGAAGGCAATTATTGGCCTCCTCGTCTGCGATTTTCATTTTCTTATGGAACTCCCCGCCCATGTCTTTCCGCTGGCGCTGCTGGTCAACTCCCCGCACCCTCGGGCTGTGGTTGAGACGCGCGTGTCGGAAGAGGTCCCTCCATCTTAAAATCCTTATCATTCAGACTCAACTTCTTGTAATAAATCTTGTCATCCCGAAGCTCGAATACTCTGCTCCCTGTGTAGCTCGGTCCCGCTGTGAGGTGATTAGCGCGTAGCCATGAATCGGACGATGGTCTGGAGAGGTACCGCGGAGACCGGAAGTGGAATCGGGAGACGAAATTCAGAGACCACTCCGAGTGAGAAAGGGGAACGAGAGAGAACGGCGAAGGGCGCTACCAAGGGGAAGGGGAGGAAGCGGAAAGAAGGAATGAGAGAAAGTCACGCTGTCAAATGCAATCAGAATATCAAGTGACACAATGAGGGGAATCTACCAGAGTCGGCTGTTTTGTCAGATCACTTCTTTGGTGGGTCGAAAACGTTGTCGCCGCCGGATCAGATGTTGTTTCGTGGGATTCGATGACGTTCCGTGGGTTGGTGATGCCTTCTCCCCATCCATATTTCCCTCTCGTTCTTCCTTTTCTCCTATATGTCATCTTAGCCTCACGCCGATGTTGATCTTAGTCCGCAGTCGGCTTAGATTGTGCGTCATGCAGCTGGCGGATCGCTCGCGCCATCACCAGCCAGCCTGTTTCCATTCTGTTCACGAATCTGCCACGTCGTAGACTAATAAGGAACCTTCAGCAGTCGGACGTGGCTGGCTCGGTCATCGCTGTGAGCACGAAGGCCAGCGCTTGTACAACATCACAGTAGGCAATCCCGGCATTGGCTCGCATTCGGAGCAGCAGCCTAATCCGGAATCCATCGGAACAAACTGTCGCAGAACGAACGGTTTTTCTCTCTTGAGCCGGACGCCGCAGAAATCGTCTACGTCCGATGCCCGACTACGGAGCGGGAAATTGATTTTCCCGCGATAATGGCGCAGTTGATCAGCCGCATCCTCGAGATTGGGGGAAGGAGTCGTTAGAGCCGATAAGGATCACGATAGATCACGAATATTTCGTGCTTTTCGCTTCGTTCTTCTGTGATTGAAGCCCCAATCGGCAGCTGTCGGGACACGGCGCTCGTCGGTATGCCCAGACAGCCAACACAACTCGACATGCGGATCAGATGATGTCGTTACCCGGGGTAGCTCCGTTTCGTTTGGTTGTACTTCTCAGCTCGGTCATTTTCTCCCCGGCTCGTCGGTCGAAAACAGCCGTAAGACGCAGGATCAGCTGGAGACGTCTTATTAGGACGGCACACGTCACCTGCCGCTCCCCGGCAGACAAGGATCCTCCATGCTATCCAGGCAAACCATCCATCCAGTCAGTCAGTCAGTCAGCTAGGCGAGGCGTGAAGTCATTAGGTTCCAGCAAGACGCGTGCCAATATCCGTTCTGCGGCTCAGCTCGCAGTCCTCCCCTACATGTCTCCAAGTGTTGTCGTCTCGGTGCCCTCGGCTGAACGAAAATCACGTCCCTAAATTACAGGCACGGAGACAATGCGGACTCGATCATATAGTAAATTCATATCGGAACTTCCCTAAGTGTGTATTATCTACTCCATGGACCCGCCCGCGCTCATCCCGCCTCGGTCGGCTCTTCTCCCGGCTGGTACCTACATAGTTCGTTGGCGGCTTGATCAAGCGCCGTTCCATTAATATCTTGGACAATATCTTCGGGAGGACTGGAGGGGACCAAGTGGGGGGGGGGGGGGGAGGCGGCTCGGAGGACTCGTGGGGGGTCCACTTTGGGCTGCGTATTGCAAGCAAGTCAGCCAACCGGCAAGCCTTTTTGCCAGGGGGAACAGATGGGGCGGGTGTGCATGAAGGCCGAGGGGAAGCATGGTCTTCCGCTAGCACAAGCTCTTCCATACATCTTTTTTGATGACGTCGACGTCACAAACTTTTCACTACGAAATGACTTTCGCCGCCGCTTCGACCGGCCACGCTAGAGTGAGGAATACGATGACGAAATAAAACGGAGAAGGGGGATACGTCGATGAGGGGATCCGATGCGACGACGGATGGAAGAGGGAAAAGCTACGCAAGCCGGAGACGAGTAGAAGATGAAGAGAGACAGAGAAGAGATGCTGAACCAGCGACTGTCGAGCGAGAGAACGAGAAGAAAACAGGAACACGCTGTACCATTCGAGGGTCACAGTGGAACAAAGAGGAAATCGGAACAAGGCGCGTGCATCGGAATGAATGCGACGAGCACGGGGAAGAGAGAGACAGGGGCATCGGGGATCAGGGCGGAGGAGGAGGTCAGACAAGGCGGAGAATGATTGGCATGAAAAAGAGACGAACCAACCGCCCGTCGAAGCGCCATTGCCCTCCAGTCGAAGCCGCAGGGCTCAATTTGCGGACAGAGTCAATTTGGCGACGCCTTCTCGCTCGCTGCTCAGTCGTCGTCCTCAGTCCGATTCTTCCTTTTCCGGCTACTCCAGAGCGGGTCTACTTTTTTTTTCTGGTCCCACTCTCGGATGATGTCCCCCCGAGAAACAATCGGAATTTCTCGCCTTCGACCGCTCTCATGTACCTGTATGCCGTTCCAGCGATCCCTCATCTCTCCCGAAACGCTTCTCTGATGCACACTTGACGGTTACTCCTTTCCCTCGACACATCTTTCGCACGAGATATTTCCTAGAAAGTAGAGATGAACCACAGTATCGCCCCGATCATATCCACTTCCCGGAACTTCAGTTCGATTCTATCAACTTCTCGAAATGGTCGATACAATCGAGATTTCTATGGAAGCTCGACTCTGTCAGCCTAGGTTATATCGACCATTCCAAGAATCGAAAAGCTGATAAAACCGGGGAGGATCCCCTGGGAGTCTCCATCAATTTCTCCCTCATACACATACAATATGATCGAGGTTGATGGGATCGAGGTTCTTCTGTATCTCTCAATAATGAGAACACGTTCTCCTTGTTGGGGAAATCCTCAATCCCGAGAAGAAGAGTTATGTTTTCATGGTTATAACCATTTGATACTTGTGAGAATCATCATTCATTTTCAATATTATTACGCTCGTTCCTCGTAATTATATTTCGATAGTCCCTCCTCCTCGTTTTCGTTCTGCAGAGAATACTTTTGCGGGAACGTATCCATTCCTCTTGGAATTCCCTTGTCCTCTCTGTTACTCGGTGACGATTCCCCCGACACTGCCAGCTTCCCCAGACCCAGCGCTCCTCTCCGTCGGCCCAGGTCTCGACAGCGAAGCTCCGTATAAACTCATCGATTCCCCACGCGTCATCGTGATTTCATTGTGGACGCTCGACTTGGTACGGAAAGTCCGACTTTCGAGCCAGATTCATTTTCGCCGCCGCACAAGCAGCTGTGCGCTGCTTGTCAGGGCCGCTGTTCTCGCATACTATGTTCGTTGTTTTCCTCGCTCACTTCTCGCCGACGTCGCCGTCGTGTCGTTCCACTGAGCCGCTCCTGCCGCTCGCCATGGAAAGCCTCTCAGCCGCCCGTTTCGGAGCTCGTTCCATGTTGCTTTTGAAGATTCGATAACTTCGACATGTTGTAGCGAGTCCCCCATTCTCTCCCAGGCCGGCCCCCGTGCCGTGAGCTACTGCAACATATTTCCATCCCATGCGGAACGAAGCCACTCAGTGGGTCGAGAAGTCAGTCAGTCACTCACTCAGCCCAGCCAGAGGGACGTGGCAGACTGGAAAAGAGAAACCGGAGTAGTTCTGCAGCTGAGCTCTGACGTTCGAGTAGGTAGCGAGCGAAAAGGACGACATCGGCCGTCGCGGCACCTAACCAAACGTTTTCCGATCAAGCTTCGTTGGTCGTCAGAGGCACCGCCATGTAGCCGTAGAGGGGTTCGGCTGCTTGTTCCTGTTTCAGCCAGTCTTCGCCCCGGGCTACAGCTCGTCTATTAATCGCCCCGGCAACTGATATCACACTTCATTTAGCCATCCGCCAGCAGCTAAGCGAGTCGACCGGGGCTGCCTTCAGGTTCGCCCCCCCCCCGTCGCCCCTCGACCAGACCTCTTTTCGAGGCTTGCACGAGCCCGAGCCGGCTTCGGTTCCTCAGTTAGTTCAGGCGAAATATTTCTAGGAGGGCAGGTTGTACGAACTCATCGATGTGTAATTTTTCGTATCTCTTCCCCTTGCTTCCCTATTCATTGTGTGACGTGGTTTCCCAACAAGATGAGGGATTTACGTATCTGCCAGCAAGGACCGCCGTAGAACTACGATCCTCTGCGGCTTATGGTTGGGATAGAGGTCTGCTTTCGGTCCCCTCCGTTGCCCACATTGATTAGACGAGAGTGAGCCTTGCTCCCCGTTAACAGGGTGCGAGCAGGAAACCGAGTCTTTCATGATCTACAAGCTGACTAGGCAGACGCTATACGGCGGCGTTCTTTAACTAGTCGAAACCCCGCTGCCTTCACCGAGCGTCGTCGCTATTACTGCAAGCTCGGGTGTGCAGTGTCGTGATCGATGATTATCAGCCTACACGAGGCGACAATGTTGATACGTTCATTACGCTAGATTTAGACTGATGACTCCTCTATGCGGATGAAGCCAACCTGCATATCGACCGTCATTGTAACTACCTACTGTCCCGTCCCGGGGTGGGATTCGTTTTAGATTGTTCCTAGATAGGGAAACTCCAGTGGACGAGTACGAGAATGTTTCGGGGCAGGGCGTCCGGCTCCTAGAGCGAGACGCTCAGGCGATCCAGGTCGGGGGAAGGGGTATGGATCTCTTCCATCGAGGGGTCGAAGAAATAGTGTAAATTTGTCTAAAGGAAAAAAAAGAACAGGCGCCCCCAGAAGAAAATAATCACCGCCCTTCTGATGTTTACCGTTTCTTTCTTCCAGTCATCAAGCGGAGCTTCACGGCGAAGGTTTTCGAGCGGACCGTCATCAGAGGGAATACGGGAGTCCTGAGGTGTCACATCAGCGACGCAGATCGAATGTACATTCAAGTCAAAACGTGGATCGTCAACTCGCTGCGGCTCAACGTCGGCTCGATAGCTGGTAAGTCTTACGCTGCCTCTAGGACGAGCAGCATTCATGATCGCATCCGTCTCAGTCTTCCGATCCAGGAGGGTCGTCCGAGAGTTTCTCACGGGACGCAGACGCGGCTCGACTTGTGTCCGGAGGCGCGACTCCCGCGTTTGACCGCGAGCCCTATTCGAATCGAAACCAGACACCGTTTGCCGGGAGAATTCACTGCGAAACGAAACCGCTGGCTGCGAGGCCACGAACCTCGAGCTCGATCTTAGCCCCATACATAGCAGAGATCCGAAATGACGCTAAGGGCTTGAGGGCCGACGGTCCCGGGCGTGGAATTCCGGGAGCAGCGAACATCCGGACAATAGCTTGTGCCCCGATGGATGTTTATTGATGGATATTTTTAGTCAGCGGCGTGTTCGCCGAATTCCAACGTTCATTCGACTCTCGGAATCCCGTCGCCGCTCGAGCGTGTCTCCTCCGTAAGCCACCGCTGAACGGAAGAAATTCACGAAAATCAGGGAAATTACGTTCCGGGATCTTCCGCCATCCCGGTGCGGAAAGAAATACACGGAATGTATAGAGATGTGTATCCCCGAACAGCTATTCCCCCTCTTCGAAGGAAATCAGTGTAGTTTTGACCGATGGCCGAGGGGACGACGAAGATTCTGATTCCGATTAGGAATCAAATCTCTGAGAGCTCGACCCCGCCTGTTGAAGACGAAATGAGCCTCCCCAGAGATTTGAGCCAGGCGATGGTTCGGCAGAGGAAAAAGAAGATAAGTCGACGCTCCCTCGGCTCCTGTATCCCGGTCGACTAAAATGCCTACCTCGCCTAAATTATTTATTGGATAAATCTCTCAACAGTCATAAAAAGCGAGTGGAGAGAGGTCGGAGGATAGTATCAGCGGACCAAAAAAAATAAGACTTTGAGACGAGCGTAGTCTCTGGCCTAGTGGCCGTGGACCGCAGCGAGGTTTGCCGACTGACGGCTAGCGGGTCGGCTCAAAAAGATCCACGTCTAATGAACGTCTAACGAACTCAGGGAAAATAGATGATCCCATGATTAAGCCATCCTTTCTGAGAAGTTCTTCAAGTGGGCGGCGCCGAGTCGGCTCAGAGTGACACAGTCTGTTGTCCTCGAATATTCAAATTCCGTCTTATGGCTCCATCAAAGTACATTAGAGGAGTTCGAAAGACCTGCTGAGGCTCAGCGGAGCCTCTGCAAATCCCAGATCCAGAACTCTAAGGAAGGAATTTTGATGGAGACGAAATCTACCCGACTGAAATCAGACACGGAACGGGAGCGACTGAGGCCATGACGTATACATGGAGAGACACTGCTGATATCGTTTCCTTGCTTCCAGTTCACGGGAAGTACAGCGTCCTGCAAAACGGTGGAGATTTACACGTGCGCAACGTTGATTCGAACGATGCTGCTTCGACGTATGAATGCGTCGCACAACATTCCCTCACCGGCGAAACCGCCATGAGCACAGCGGGAACGAAAATTGTTGTCAGAGGTGAGCCACAGCCAAGAACGATTTCCAGATCCGTGTGCTCCCGAGTATTGTCCGATGAAAACACGCTTAGCCATCGAAATCTCTCCGTTGCAGAATCCGTGACTAAGGCGCCGCTGATCACGGACTCACATCGTCATGTCCGCACAAAACGTGGCGCAACTATCGAGCTCTCCTGTATCGCCCAAGCCGTTCCACCTCCGACCTACCAGTGGTTCAAGAGGCTGAAAAGACAAACCGTACCTGTGATCCTTCAGGGCCGTATCTCTCAACACGATGGAACCCTCTACATCCACCAGGTTACCACCGAAGACGCGGGCACGTACCAATGCAACGCGAACAATACGATGGGAATGGATTCCGCAGAGACCGAACTCACTGTCACCGGTACGTACCTCCGACGGTGCTCGGCTCGCATACGTACACGCGCACACTCCCATACAAAGATCCATCCAAGAGCCCGGGCGCTTTCCTATTTCGATATGGGTCCCCGCCGACCATCTGCAGAAATCTCCACCTGGGTTCGTCGAGCGTCCTACTCAGCCGGCTGGCTACGTAAGACGGAGCGACTTAGATACCTACCTGCCCGTTGTCTGGCTGAACATTTATATGTACGTGGATCTATGGATGGGAGTTTGTTCCCGCTCGTATGCGCGCGTTTTTTTATTCGTGCTCGTTTCCGAACAGCGGAATAAAACAAAGAGGGCGAAGCGATAAAGTGAACGAAGGAAAAACGAGATGCGGAGAGGGGAGAACTCTAACCCAAACGCTGTCCGCAGATGCGCTGAGTGCCATGATAACCCCGCGTATCTACCGCGCTGACCTTGGAGGCAGCGTATATCTAAATTGCACCGTCAGGGGTCAACCCGTTCACCGTGTTGAATGGTTCCACAATCAAAGACCGATCCACAGCCAGTATGCAGGTGGCCACGAAGGCTCGTCTTTCAGCTATACGATCACGAACGCGCGCCAAGAACACAAGGGCGTTTACCAATGCTTCGCCTATAACGACGAGGAAAGCGCTCAAGCGAACTCTATTCTCGATATAACCGGTGAGTAACCACGAAAACGAGTTTATTTGAAGGATCGCGACGCCATGCAGCGTATGATTGCCACGAATATCTCTCAATGAACAGATGAGCCGCCGGTATTGATCGAGACGTTCGAGGAAATTACCACGGGGCCCGGCCCCTCCGTATCCCTAAAATGCATCGCTTCGGGGAGACCGTTGCCGCAGGTGAGTTTCGGTGAGAGTCGCTCGGCGGCTGGAGCCATTTCTCGCACCTAGGATAGAGCTTGCCTATGATGAGAATTGACCCTTTCGTTTTTTTGAAATTGAAACATTCGGAAAAGAACACGAGTGAAGAATAATAACTGAAGTGTGAGACATATCGCGACTCGAAAACTCTGCCGTGTTTTCCGAACCGAAATGCGGTTGGGCCATCTGGTTTCGTCGAAAACCTCCGAACGGCAAATCCATCATATACAGCTCGGGATCGTTTTTTCCGCGGATCGTGGTCTAAGAAATCCCGTGCCTTCCGGATGTCTCGTTTCCTTGATCCAATTCCATAATAATTGTTCCGCTGAGCTTCTCAGCTCATCGGTGGAATGACTTCCTAGGAGGTCAATGGGTCGAGAGCTGTCCCCGGAGCGCCAAGGCAAGAGCGAGAAAGTTGCGATTTGTGAGTGGAGTAAATTCTTTTTGTTGACGGCGGCGCAGCGGCCGGCGCGGCGCTGCAAACCCGCTCGGCATGCTTGCTTGTTGTAATGTTGTCGCAAACGGGAAACAAGCACTTGCGCTCGCGAAAAGAAAATAACGAGAAAAACCCTTTCACACGCACCCGCTTAAACTTGTTCAGCCTTTGACAGGCCATTCGTTGCGCGGCCCTAGTCGCGTTGTCCCGAGACACTTTTTCTTAAACAGTTATTGTTTTTTCCTCGAGTACTCTCGCGCCTTGATTGCGTGTTCTTCGCCCGTCTCGAGTGTGCCGATCGTTTTTTTTTCGTACGGATAGGATAAAGCGACAGGTCACAAATTCCGCAAATTCGAAACGGCCGAGCGCGCGGATTACGATTTGCTCGACGAGAACGCGAATCGTATGAGACTTATCAAGGGGAACCACGGCTCCGCGCCAAGGATCCTCCGAGTATGAGCTCTCCGTGGAGGCGCTTTAGGGACACGTAAAGGACCTTCGTAGTTCCTCTCTCGGGGTGATGATGATTTTTCGTGCGCCTGACCGGAGTGGACGAATGTCGCAGGGTGTGAGCCGCTGCTGAAAATACGCACGAGCGAGCGAGCGACCGACGACAATGGCGAGGAACGACGCGGCGCGAGGAGCACGGTCTTCGAGTAGAAGCGCCTACGGGAGCGGACGAAAAACTGAACACCTCTCGGTGTTCGCGATAAGGGCGCCCAGAAAAAGGTGCGGAGCAGAATGGGCGGGGGCGAGTCATGGGAGGGGGGAAATATTCAAGTCATACACATAAAGACGCTGCGAGTCTCGCAACGGCAGCACCTCGTCACGGGTCGCGATACTCCTTCCTGGACGCCTGCCAGAGTCCTGCAGTTGCCCCGCAGGAGTCCGTCATCTCGTTGAGGGAACCTTTAGAAATCCGGCAGCCAAGCTTGGCTCTGCCATTTTTGTCTTCGTTTCGGTCTCACACTTTCGCTGGAGCCCTCTCGTCCTCCAAAACATCTCACAACATCCCGCCGACGAATCGAGGGATCTTTTCGCTTGATGCTGTCGACCGACAAAGAGACACTCTCACAGTCGTCGCCGGCACTCTCACACAAAGAGACACCGCCACCTACATTCAGAGCAGGTTCCGGGGCGTCAAAGGATCTGCGATCCCGCTTCGGTTGGATGTCGAGGTGCCAACTGGACGATCTCCGCGGCTCGATGGAGCTTCCTCGCATCTTCCCGCCAACGATTCATCTCTCCGGAACTTCCGGAGAAAAATTATAGCCCCGAAAACTCGTGCTGAATATCGTGAGCCCCCCTGGAAGACGACTGCTTCCCACGCGGATCGCTCGCTGAGTGAGCGCAACGATCCGCGTGGGAAAAACGAAGTCTCTCGGAAATTTCATGGTCCGGGACAAATAGTAAGAGACGAGCGATGATTGCGACAGATGACCACTTCCAAAGAGAGTTCAGACTCGGCTCGTTTATCGAAATGAGCCGTTTCGGCAATAAAGGAGGGAAATTGGAAGACGATTGCGGTTTATAAGAGTCGGAAAGAGGAAATGACGGGAAAATCGAGCACATCATGATCTCCGGTGCGGGTGGGGCAGTGAGTGTGAGCGAGGGGAGGAACTGCGAGAGAGATGATGGTACTTCCTTAGCTAGCTGACGAATCCGTGTATGGTGGCCGCGGCCGGCGGCACGGCGCTGGGTCAGGGCACGCTAGTCATCATCTTCGAATCAGCGGTATTCGAAACACGTTCTGCTTTGGCATGATGGTCATCGAGTACTGTTCTGGAGCTGCGAGCCAAATCAGGCGATCCTCGTAAGGCCTTCGACCCCCCTTTCGGGCTAACGGAGCTGTGGCTGCGACGGCCTTTTTTCCGCCTCGTACTATTTTTACGGCCATTTGTTAGGTAATCGCCTCTTTCCTTTCCGGCAGCTTTTCCACGCACATACACGCATTGGACCAATATTTTTCTCTCGTTCCGATCGAGGGGCATCGATTTTCCTAACACTCAGACCTTTTGTCCCGAGATTCTCGAGGCTCCGATTCCCCCAAATGCCCCACACCCCTCCGGGTTCGGGGTGCCTCCCCTTTCACGTCAAGCCGACCCTCTACCCAAATCTTTTCTTTTCTCGATGCTCTCCTCCAACGGCTCGCTCTTCATCCACTCGCCCATTAGACCGATTCTCTCTCCCTCTCCTAATACAGCGACTCTCCCCTTCCTTCTCCTCTCTGTGTACTGCTCCCGTTTTTCTCCTTTTCTATTGATTACCGCCCATAACTCGTTTCCAACCCGATTTCCGGTCGGGGACCACCGCTGTTCCGCTTAACAGTTACGTTACTGGTGGTCATAAATAAAATTCGGTCAAATACGAGTAGGCGACTGGCCGAGCAAGCAACAATCCGAGTCGAATTCGCTGTCCGGGCGTCGATGAGCTCACTGATCGCAGCTGTTGCACAACAACTGAGTGCGTGTCCAACACCGTTTTCGCAGCGGTTCGGACTAGCGGAGATTCCTCGCGGGCGGTCGCTAGTCTCGCTGATTCCGAAGAAGCATTTTCGAATTACGGCTCGAACTCTCTCCCCGAAGTTTCAATTCCAGGACCCGAACTCGCAGAGCAAATAATCGATTCAAGTTATTTCAAGAACTTCCGTCTTTCTCTCTCTCAAGGTCACGTGGACGTTAGACGGGACGGCCGTACCGGAAGACGCGCGGTACCGCGTCGGAGACTATGTGACAAGGGATTCTTACGTTGTCAGCTTCGTAAACATATCATCCGTCCGACCTCAAGATGGCGGAATGTATCATTGTACGGCGCGGAGCGATGCAGGCGAGGTTAGCCACTCTCAACGTCTCAACGTTCACGGAGCTCCGTTTGTTCGAGAGATGAAGAACACGTCGGTCCTCGCGTCCGAAACCATGGTCCTCATCTGTCCGGCTGGAGGTTGGCCGATCGACACGATAACCTGGGAAAAAGGTGAGGAGCATAGCGTCTTCTGTAGCTGTCTTCAGGTTCATTTGCGTTCGTGAAACTGCGTACCTATATACGCCTGATTGTGCGGACGCTCCGCACCGAATCAATGTGGCTCGGGTCGAGTCGGAAGGGGACAAGTCCTGCGTCCTTGAAGAACACGGGTAGCCCGCAGCGGTTGCGAAACATTCGGTGACGATATCATTGGAAAAAACTCGTTCAAGTGTAAACGGGAAGAAACGGGAGAACATTCCGATTCTCGTCCGGCTGGAGCTCGACTTTCCCTTTGTTCTGAAGTGAGCCACGTCTCGCTCCCGACCTTAAGCACAGAATCTCACGATTGGCCTGGTTTCGGAATAGCCTCTTCCGGACCATTCTTCAATCGCGCGCTCCCGCTGCTTGACCACGCAAGCCTCTTACCAGTCTCGGCACGTGTGTCCGAGAGTCGGAGAAACAGGCCTCCAACAAGGAATCGGGTTCATGTGTACACGGTGGGGTGTGTTCAGAAATAGAAATCTGATTCGGCTCTGGAGCGAGACGGGGAAGCATGCACAACCCCTTTGGAAGAGGGATGCGAGAGCCGCGGCGGAGAGTTTCGAATGAGAGGGCCTGGAGTGGGCTAAAATCGGGGAACAGGGACGGGCGAGTTCTTCACGGGCCGACGTGCGTTTGTCCACCGAAAAACTAACATGGGGGAAGGGGGATCGCTCAGATTCCCCCCGTCGAATGTGATGTGCCCTCGTGGCGAACTTGTCCGGCTGGACCTCTCGTCTCGCGGATGCCCCAAACGTCGTCCCACCCCCCTCCATCCTTCTCGTCACCAGCCCACAAATTTCCTCGTTTTTCCGTCGATCTCCCTAATCTCTCACATTGCTTTTTTCCGTGCGCCTCAGAAGCCCAGCAGCATGCCGGCACGCTCTCTCCCCATGGCGGCACGCACTCACGCGAGTGGACACGGCTGAGAAATGGTTGACGTGGGACCACTTTCCGGTCATTGCCCAACGAGAATCGGCCGTTGTTCGATTCCCCGTCGCTGCTCGGAGAGATGCTAATTCAATAACAGGCCGCTTGTCTGCCCTCGACCCCGCCGCGCGGCTTCGACATACCGCACCTTTTTGCAGCAGCTCCGTGCCGTCCTCGCTCTGATTCTCGTAATTGTGCGCTTGGCGTGCTCTTGAAGGGCAAACGAGGAGCATCAGAGATTGGCAACCGGGCCAGGGAGAGAAGATCCGCGACAGCGAGGGGCATTTTTCTGTCAACAAGTGGGACCGCGTCATGGGCAGAGTGGGAAACGAGAGGGCGCGGAAGGGGAAAGACGAACGCGCACAGTCGGGAAACGGGGAGCGTATGAGGCCATCGCGCGCACGCACGCGTGTTCTCTTCCCGCTTGTGGGGGATTGTTGGTGAGTAATTGCGAATAGCAGGCTCTAGCATTATGCAAATAGAACGATTAGACGCTCATTGCTGTTCAACAAGACGGCCATGATGGGAAAAGCCAAGGAAACGAGCGTGTACGGGAGGCGAGCCAGGATGGATCGACACGGTGGGGCCCTCGATGTTCATGAACTCGCCATCCCTGGAATCTTGGGATCATGTTCCGCTTAATTATCTCTTTGAAAGCCGTGAACAATAATGAGATCCGCGTTGGAATTCCGACGCGCGATAATCCGCAGACGCCGCCGCTGGCTGCAACTCCAGACGTTCGAGGACGAGCTTTGTCTCCTCGGCTTGAATTTCTTCCCTCGGGATTGCAGCGTCTCGAGGACAACGAGATGAACGAAGATGTTGAGGATGGTTAAGAGGCTTCGATGTGGGGTGTACCCCCACGAAGGCATTATGGAGGTGGAAAGTGAACTCTTCTGAACCGCTTGAGCCCCCATGTCGATTTCCTGTTCAAGAGCCGAGATATAAAAATGTCGATTCTCGACGTAAAATGGATCGATGTGATGATTTCCTAGTTGACTGGAGGAATTCGGAGCGAGACTATAATAAATTTATGTTCGACGTAGGTATGATATGTACGTGGCTCCGAACTTGTGTTTCCTTGGAAGACGCGTTCGGGTGACCAGACCGATCCCGAAGGGTCTTTGGAAGCTGTGCAGCTCAAGCATCAGGCATTAAAAGCTCGTTCGGGGGAAGTGTCGATGATAACATGTATGCGACGGTAATGGTTCGATTACTCAACCCGCTACAATGAGTGAGCTCGGGTCTCGGAAATTCACGAATTTATGGCCAGGTACTAGAAAGTTTTAATTAAAATCCTGACGTGGCACCGTCATCTGGAAGGCTTCGTTGCTGCCTCGCTCCGATCGCTGGGAGGAATAACTTCTGCTATAAATATTCCTCTCGATGTCATCCCGATTTAGACTTGAGGCGGCAAGAGCGTTGCACCAGCCGTGGGAGCGGTTCAAAGTTCGTTCGTCCGAGCGAGACGAGACCCATACAAGCCACAAGTTTTCGTAATGGATACGTGTGCGGCTCTCGTTTAATAGCAGGACATATAGCAGGCATGGTGTTATACATACATTGCCCCTGGAGACAACGACAATGACGGTCCCAGCAGCGGTCCCAACAGGAATGTCTTCGGGGAGGACAAAGGTTTCAAGATGGACTGGGAGACCGGGATGCGTCGGGACATGGTGACCACTACCGCCCCCGCCCCCTTGCCTCCCCAAATATAGAGGCGGGCAGAAGCAACGAAGATGGAAATCGGAAAGACGCTCCCCAAGCGTGTGCTTCAACGAGTACAAGCTGATTTTGGAAAGATCTAAGCATAGAGTCAATATTCGGCGTCGTGGAGCGAACATGAAAATTGGCCCTCAAAGAAAGGTCATGTTTTCATGAGGCGACAACCATCCGGAGGATCAGCGACTGTCCCCCATCTCCCGCAGAAAGTTTCGTTGAATTTCCTCGCGTCCCCCCCGACTTCCTGTTCGAGTCGCGCGAGACGATGAGAGTTCGAAAGTCTCGTGCTCCGTGTCAAATATGCCTGGGAAGCTGTTTTGAGGGTCACTATGGAAATGAGGTTAATTCTCGGCTCCGGGGATCCGTCTGGAAATTGTCATTCCCCGATCGTTCAAGTATCCGAAAAGTTCAGGATTGGATTCCTGAGAAATGGAGCGATGGTGGAAATCGAGAGACAGACCACCTTGTTCCGTCGCGCTACGGAAGAAACGCGGATGTCCCGCTCCTAGGCAGACAGGCAGACGCCGTTATCGTCGCCGCGTGCCATCGGAAGGAACGAGCAGCTGCAGCGAGTCAATTGTGACGCTATTGTTTGTAACAGGGTTCTTATCTCAGCCCCACCGACATCTAAAGCAACACCGAGACGCCATCATTTGTGCCACTGTCTCGCGAGATATTCGCCCGAAGCCGTATCATCTCCGACCAGTCACCACAAAGCATGCGACCTGCGTTGCGATCCAGGTTCTGTTCGACACTCTCCGGCGTCTTAACTGCGAGCCTAGAAATGCAGAACCTCTGGGCCCCATTTCGAACGCGAAACCGTTCCCTAGGTCATCTCTGTGAAATACTTGCTTAGCAAGTTGACTATAAGTTCGAATTGCTCAAGTCAACGGATAGACGATTGTTGAGAGCGAATCGCACCGGGCACCGCTGCCTCGTGCGAGAGGTCCCTGGTTCAAACCCAGGGGCTCGCTCCTTCCTCCGAAAGCCGCGCAGAAACCCTCTGGGGACCGATAGTGGTGTTCGGCCCCATGCTTCCACTTCCGTTCGTACGAATGCCGTCGTGGACTCTTCGGGCCATGGCCTGCGTGGTACCTCGCGTGCGGGGGGAAGGCGGGAGGGAAAGAAGAGAATTGATATCACAACAAGGTAGTGACGCCTTCCCGTAGAACAGCTACGGTATCGAGCATATCTCCAGGAGATCGGGAATGATTCCGCGGCTATCAGATCTCAGAAGTACGAATTATTAGTCCCAGCCCCGCTCCGAGAACCGTCCCGTTCATCAGAGCTGTTTTGTTTCCCGTTTCAGAGGGCATAAGGCTGCCATACAACCACCGACAGAAACTTTTCCCCAACGGAACATTGATGGTTCACGACGTCGAGCGAGCTACAGACGAAGGCCGCTACACCTGTACAGCCAAGAACTCGCAGGGTCAGTGGGCCTCGAACGGAGTGTTCATCCGGGTTCTGGTCAAACCCGTTCTCGTTCCGTTCAGCTTCCCTTCGAGTCTTCATCAGGGCCAGCGATATAACGTGCTGTGCACCGTCTCGAAAGGCGACTCGCCAATCCACATCCGATGGTACAAAGACGAGCAGAAGTGAGTGAAGAGCTGATGTGGAAAAAAAATTGTAGGAACATCATAGCGAGAGAGACAGAGACAACGCCAACGTTGCCCCAACTCACAGTAGTCGCTGTATAAGAAAACAACGTCTTGTCGCTCACAGGCTCGCCTCAACGAACGGCGTCACGATTCTGAACGTGACGGAGTTCTCGTCGACGCTGATCTTCAATGAATTGCAACCGCATCACAAGGGAAACTACACGTGTGAGGCACGCAATGACGCCGGGGTAGTTCGTTTCACGGAAACAATGGTGATTCATGTGCCGCCGTCTTGGAGGGTGGAACCTCAGGATACACCGGTTGTCAAAGGAACCACCGCTTTTCTCGACTGCCAAGCTGATGGATTTCCTCAACCCAAGATAAGATGGACGAGATCGCAAGGTATGTATGTCTGCCTGTCAACAATACACTAACAACTGTCTCCAAACGTGCTATCGACCCGCCGCGATCCCGGGTGGGCTTACAGCCTTCGGGACGCCACTGGGGTGCACCACTACGAGGTGCAAGTATCGCGCCGATAGGAGAGGCGACGAAGGAACAAAAACTCGGTTTGGGCCAGCCCGGCTCGAACCAGCAAAAATTCGGCCAAGAGTGGTCATAGGGCAGGAACACAGCCATGCGGACAACCCCACCCACCCAAGCACTCAGCCCGTCCACCCACGTACGGCACTGGACGAGCTGCGACTATTAATACTCGCGTTCGCCCCCCACCGGACCAGAGTCCCTCCTTTTCATTTCAGCCTCACATTCTCCTTCCGTTTGTGGGCAATAGGAATCCGGTTTGGCCGAGCACCCCCCCTCCCCCCGGCCGCGACTCTTCCGTCCGAATGCGTCGCGAATGAAAGCTGGTAACAGTGGGTCTGGTTCGCTGCTGCGGCTGTCGGGAGGGTAGACCTTCTTGTGGTTTTATGTGTCGACTGGAGAAGCAACTCCGGGGCGGAAAAAGGATGAAACGCAAAACCTCTGGGTCGGATGGGGATTCGAGGTATATACGGTGCGGAGAGGAGTACCAGAGAGGAAGTCGTGTGGGAGAGCATACTCACAAGGGCATGGATTTCGCGGAGCCCGGTGAGAAGACGGCGGAAAGCGGAAGGCGGGAAAACGGATACCACCATGTAGAGGGGAAATTCTTAGGAAGCGAGGGCAGAAAGAGGGATGGGGGAACTGCATTGCAAAAAGAAACGGAAGAAGAAACAAAAGGAGCAGGTTGTTCAGCGAATCCGGAGGTGATTTATATGAATCAGACGAAACCAATATAGCTCCAAGAGGAGAAACGGAAAACAGAGAAACGATGAGGCGATATGTGGCTCCTTCGTGGGCATTCGGCTTGTTGGTCGGGGGAAGCGGCACAAGGAGCCAGGAGGAGGGGACCGGGACGTACATAGCTCTAGAGGAAAGTTGGAAAGACGCGAAATATATATTTATATAACGATGCACACGAGAATTGCACTCTCTCTTCAAGAAGAATGGATATCTTCCCCTGTGTTCACATCGTTGGCTTCCAGAACAACAAGCCGTCTATTCTTCTTTCTCTCGCTCGTCGAACCACTCTCCGCCATTTTTCACATCAGACCTTGTCGGGGTTTTGTTTCTACGGAAGAAAGCATGAATAGGGAGAAACTTCTTAGAACGAACGCCCATTTCTCCGGATTCCTTTATTTCCGAAAGAATTCTTCGGGGGGGACCAACAGTAAGGCCTCGCAAAGGGTCTCCCCGACACCGGGGCTGCCGAAGCTTCTCACTTTCGCTCGTTTCCGAACCCATACGATCGGTACGCATGGTTTATGTCGTGAGCGTCACGCGTCTTTTTTCTGCTTTCGTCACGCAAGACAGGCGTTGGTGTCGGTGGTATCGACTCAGCTCTCCGAACGAGAATCTCGAGTGAAAAATTCCTCCAATATATGTATTCAAAAGTGACGTCACACAGAAGAAACGGTGTCTGACGGTCCGTGACTCCCTTCTGCCCCGGTTTTTCTCCAGGCATTCCTTGCTGTCGCGTCGCCTCATCATACCGAGCGCCTTTGTCCTGTTTCTCCCCGTCTCGCTCTTCCTGTCGTCGTGTCTTGGGTTTTCATCTTTATTGTTGGCTCTTTTTCCATCGGAGCTATGTGGCTTTTCCGTTGGAGCGCGGTGAGGCTACGAAGATACACCAGTCCGCCGGCCGGCTATCGAGCCGGCAGCAGCAGCGGCAAAAGCTACGGCGGCGGCGGCAGTTATAGATACAACCAGAGAGGGAAGATACTGCCGGCTGCGAGACGCACACAAGTCGTGCCGGGGTAGAGATATGAGCGCGCACAACTGGCGACTGCCGAGATTACACCGGAGCAGCAACAGCAAGCAACCGACATAAGTAGACGCTCCGCGCGCAGCAGTAACACACTCACATGAAAAGATGAACCTACTACCAGCTCATGGACGGAGGGACAGACGACATATAGATGGGGGAACGACGAACGAGCGAACGAACAAATTCAATTGTGTAATCGTGCCGCGGCGTGCATGCACGATTACGCGAGCACGCGAATCAGGCGAAGAGAAGTCATGCCACGGAAGTGATGCTGAAAGAGGCAAGGGCTCGACAGGCAGAAGCTCGAGCGAAAATATGCGTACCGAAGCCGACGACAACAATCGCTGCTCTCGCGTGCTGACTCCTGGAGAAATTCGCTCACCGAGGGATCCATCGACCCAATGAATGGGCTCTCTTCGCAAGACATCTTCCGGTGGGTCCGAAGACGCTGAGCATAATCCAGAACCCTCTCAAGGGTCCTCGCAGGGAATCCTGTTGGAGTCGACGAGACATCTCGCGAGGAACGTCGACGATTGGGAGCATGGAAATCGGACGTGGGCGGTTGGGAGAGGTTCCTGGGAGACTGGGATCGGAGAACCGGATGATCATGCGATGGTCTCTTCGGCGAGAGGATCCCCACTGTATCCGGAGAGTACAGAACGTCGCAAGGAGCCAACGTGTCCAGCTGTCGACGTCTTTCTCCATGGTCTGCCCTCGAGTTTGTCACGCGGGCCAAATAACAGTATTCGCTGCAATTGCCACAACCTACCATAACCGACAAACGCACCATAATTATATTTCAGCAACGATTCTACTTGGGCATCCTGGCTGGGGAGAACAACAGCGAGTGAAGGGCTCGGTCTGAGGCGGTGAAGCTCACTCAGCGCCGCATCGTCTTGGGTCGGTCGAGGCCAGATAGCGGCGAATAAAGCGACGCTACGATGAGATGTGTCCTAATGGCCCCGACGGCCGGGGACGGAATGCGAGCCCTGGAAAGCAGGCGACAAAAGCCTAGGCAACAAACCGAAAGAAAATGTTTCCTAGAAGTGAGCGACGAACTCATCGCATCATCACGCAGAGGGGGGGAGGGAGAATTCACAGATCGGGCCCGTGTACGGCCCCGTTTTCTTATCCCGAGAGTCCTCTCGGTCTCTTTCGAAGTCCGTATCCCGATCCGGGAATTGATGATTCGACGCGAAATCCGCGAAAACTGACGAGCCTCCGGATGCCAGCCCTGAACCCGTCCGAGGAGCTTCCTCCGTCGTTGGAGCGATGGCCGCGGCCTCGCTCTCCTGTTCGGTGCATCGGATTTTCCACGGGAACCTGTATGTCCCATCGGGGCGGCGTCTTCAACGAGTGCAACATAAGACCTCTGTTGGAATGCGTCGCAGCTTCCGGAGCGATACGTCACGGAGTCTTGCGGGACATCAAGAAACTCTCAACGCGACTTTCGCTCGTCGATATTCCGCTAGTGATGTTCATCTCGGTGTCCCTGAGTCAGCTCGTCCCTTCTACCTGGAAGTAGGCGTCGCATGAGCTCCGGAACTGAGTTAGTCAGATGAGAGGGCTTATCGAATCTGCCTATTAAGGACGTTACGCGCGACATGGCTCATTGGTAATGAGCGTGTGGCGCATGTGACTCGTCCATCGTCTGCCTCGATGTCCAGGACATTAAGTAAAGCTTCTTCGTCGCGTCCACCGAACCTTGGCTTTCCACGGAGACCAAGCCCGTTCGGCGGCGGTCCAGCCGACCGACCGACCGTCCGCCGGACAGCGTCCGCCAACACCGATGCTCAGCGTAGCGGAAAATGGCGAAATATCACATAAATATCAAGACCGATCGGATTGTTGTTCCTCTCGAACCTCATCGACGACGCGACCATAAGCCTGTGAATGGCCCCGAATTTCTCTCTCCCGGCGCGGCGAACGAGTCGGGAGCTCCGGGAACTTCAAAGTGATTCCGAACCCGAGTTGCGATCCGATAGAATCCCTCGCGAGATGCTGTCTGATTTTCTCGAGTGGACTTCCGAAAAATCATCTGATCTCAATAATTGGTCGATTGTGAACGATCCGCGGCCTTAATGGCCGCGCAGAACTCCTCAGGACCTCGGGCTTAATCCATTGGGGAAACTTTTCTCCTTATGCGAGTGCCCGGTTCGGGCCATTGTTCGCGGGAGGGCTCGATAGCGATTGGTGGGGAAAGGCTTCGATGGGCTCTGTTTTGATGCCGAAATAAGATTCCCATCGCTCTCCGCGTACCGCATCAGGAGTTCACTCAATGCGTTTATTGTTTCAGGAGACGATCCAGCCGGCGACTACAAAGCCATACAGAGCTCTTCTCATTCGCATGTATACGAGAACGGGACACTTATCATACAAAGTGCAAAAAACTCCGACTCAGGATATTACCTCTGTCAAGCTGCCAACGGCGTCAGTCCTGTCCTCAGTAAAGTCGTTCGTCTATCCGTTCACAGTGAGTAACTCCGTTATTCGAGCGTTTTTCCTCAGGATTCAAACCTCTCCGATGCTTCTCTATATTTTTCGGAATCGACGAGAACCGCTCGTGTGGAGGGGCGGGGGAAATGTTGAGATCTGACGACTGCAGCTCTCGAGGTGGGAAGACGGGACAATAGAATTCGAGGACTCGACGTAATAGGCCACTTTAGGAGCAATTTAAAGACCCTAAAGGCGACCGAACGAGCGAGCAAGCAACCACCTCGCGAGCGGGGAGGTGGGGAGGGAAAATCCATAGGCTCCCTCGGGTGGGGAGGTAGTAAGTGTGTGGGGAAACGTTGTCTTTGTCTCCTGGGACGCGAGTGACTGCAGATTGCGCCGCACGTTCCTTTTCCCCCTGTGGCGTTAGCGCGCTATCTTCTGACTTTTCTTGGTGCGGGGGCAGCGAACGAGGATTGCGAGACTCCTTCCAGCATCGCTTCCCCTCCCGCCCAGATCGTCCGTGTCAGACCCCTCAGCGAGTCCGTCTGAGGTCCCATCGGATGTTGCCTCCTTATACTCGGCGGCCTCGGTAGTGCTGTTCTTTCTTTCTTCTTTTCTTCCTTCTTTCCAACTCGGTCGTGCATTGTGTATGCATTGCGGGTGCTTGCTGCGGGAACGACGACGAAGGTTGCGGCGGTGCTTCTTGTGGGGCTTATTTTGCAAATGCGCGAGGCGGACGTCGAGCGTACAAGTCGTAGCGATGCACTTCGACGGAAGTCTCCATTGTTTTTTACCGAAGTTAATAACATTTTTCTTCTCTGTGCGCCGGCTCACTGACGGCTTCCGTTTGCATTCGGTAGCTTTCATGTCAAAAAGCGAAAAGGAACAAGATGCCAAACCAAGAACTGTCGATAGCGTCGAACCAGACGACGCGCGCTCCTCCCCGAATGCTTCCGAGATATCACATCGGGCATTGATCTTTTCGGCCCAGACACATCCCGACATGGGGTTGTCTCCTCTTCGCTCAAAAAAAAAACACCGCGGCTGGGAAAGCACCGCCCGAATCCTCTGCTTCCGATTCTCGTTCCCGCTTTTATCTCAAGTTCTCGGGATATGGATTTCGCACAATCAGCCGCTCGGTGTCCGACGCTGATATCGGCGACAGTATAGAACTGCACCAGAGAACATCCCGAGGTTCGACTTTATCCCCAAATCGAACCGATACCGCCTCGATCGGGGCGCGAAGTTTCGCTACGCTATTCGATGATGCAGATTATCGCTATCGACGATCGTCTACACCCACTGTGATCTCCTGACGTTTCTCGACGAATCCTCTTGACCGAATGCTGTCCTCGTCTCCGGTGGCCCCCGGCGCAATCGCCCCGGCTGGGAGAGCGAGGGGTTCAGGCCATGGTGAAAACTCAGCTGATTTCTCGCTTTCCCACTGGTCAGAGAATCTCCAATAATTCTACTCGAGCCTGCAGTATAGGTCGAATTCACTTCATGGAATGTTCAAGTTCACACCATGCGAGAGATGAATTCTACCGCCGATCGGGGAGCACGGGGAAGAGCGAATCGACAGTGGCTCAGGGTGCCTTGGATAGACGCTCATCTGCGGCGGAATGGCAAGCTTTTTCAAAAGCCACTCCCGATCGTTCCTCTCTCCTAAACGCTTCCTCCTCAACCCATGATTGAATCCGCGACTTTAAAATAAATTCACGCCGAGCGCATCGCTCCGACCGACCAAGACCTAGCGAGAAATCGGTTTTGAAGCGACTTCGTTCTGCTCACTTAGCCGTCGAGACGCGCGCTGGCGATGCCGCCGAGCGCTGTGGCTGCTGTTGTTGTTCTTAAATGATCTGACGCTTTTCACATCTTCGTTGCTCTTCAGCCGAAGGCCTTCGCGGACTGATTCGAACTCTCCTGCACGCGGAGAAGTTTCTCGCCTTGGATTGGTTTCCCACTTTGTTCCGATAATTCACTCTGGACTCGTTGCCTCGAATGGGGCGTGGAGAACGAACAAAGCCAGGGGAAACGGTCCCGAGGAGAGGCCGACGAGGAACTGCGAGGCTAGAGGACCGCGTCTGGCTCTTCTTGTGCGTCGGCCGCGATTCTTCCAAAGTTTCCCTCGCTGTCAATCTTATCGATCCGCCCCTATCGCGTTTTTTGGATACAATTGCAAAGCGGTCGCCCCAGTATTCGCTGCGCCTGCGTGGCGCGCCCGCTCCCCCGACGCCAGCCATCGTTATCCTCCTGTCCTGAACGTTCTCCCGTCTGGATGGTCGAGCGACCGACCGGCTGACTGCCTGAATCGCGCGCTTGAAGTTTCTTCCGCGTCGACGACAACGAGACCAACCGACTCGGGAGGAGAAGAACCGGTGAGACGGCCAATAACAGGAGATCGGGGGAGGGCGCATCAAAAAAAGGCGAATCGAGCTTCAGGCGGCTCGCCGGCTCCACGCGCGGGGCATTTGCAGTCGGAAGACGCGGAAAAGGGATAGGCAGTTTTTTTCTATGCATCGATAATGCCATACACTCTCAGTCTCGCCAGCAGAACAGGAGAAGACGGGGAAACGCCTCACTGAAAGCGGACAAGCGTGGCCGTCCTCCGAGGCAGAGATCAGGTCTAATCGCCATCAAGTGTTCCAAGCGCCTGCCCCACCTCACGATCGGAGATCTGGTCTCGGGATTCACGATCTCCCGTCGAGAGAGTTCACGGCTGGACTCCAGGCGAGGAACAGAGGACTGATGCGTGAATCGTCGGGGTCGAGGAATTCATTTCGATTGAGATCAATTCAGTCGAGATTTCTTTGCTAATTGATGGACGATAGCATTCTGGCGCGAAATCTTCGAGTCGAGAGGGATCCTTTCACGGAAAAGTCTCGTTGAGGAAGCGGCGCGGCGTTGCCCGGCGAAAGCAACGGCAGACCAGTCTGTCCTGGCCGGACGCTTCGAGGTTTCGACGAGTTCAGCCACTGGATTCCCATCAGACTGGGAGCTCCGTGCCGACCTCTCCAGGAAAGTTTCGGACACGCATCGCGAGCATCCTCCGAGACGACCGACCGGGTCAGAAAAGAAAAGCGCTCTCATCTGTAAGCCGGATCTGGAATCGATGGAAGCGCAGCCCATTTCTATTCCATGCACGTTGCCGTACTTCATTTTGAGAGCAGCTCGAAATATTCCGTTCGACGGCGATGGTAACAGGAACGCGCACCTGGACCCACTGTCGGTGTTGTATATTCAATCTGTTCCCTCATTTTTATTACATCATTCTCATCGCTATTCACAATTCGTCCGGATCCTCTCCCTCTCAATCGGAAGGACGAACGCTGTCTCTGGGCTCGAATCCCAGGCTCTACCGCAGTTTGCACTCCGTCGCGAGAGATTTCGATCTCCCGAAGTCTTTCCATGAGCAGTAGGTCACGGCAGACCGCTGTTGCCGAGTCGACTTGACCAGTTCCCAGTACGAAACCTTGAGACTATGACGGACGACGAGAATCATGAGTTAAAAATCGATTTGTCGATGCCGAGTCACAGCCGCTGGACAGAAGGAGATAGAGACTAGTGGTAGTTCGACGACGGCGGGAGGGAAAATCGCGTCAGACAAGCAATGGTGGCAAGAAGATTGAGTGAGTGAGCGAGTGAGTGAGTCAGTCAGTCAGTGTGCGGGAGAGAGGCAATGGACGGGTCGGACGACGAAGAACTCGTCGGATGTTGTCGTAAGACACAGCAGGAAGCTTTGTCGTTTTTCCAGGAGCGGCACAACTGCGAGCAAGCCATCCTGCTTGCGACTAACGCTGTGACATCAATCAGCGCAGGAGTCGAGCAATACATTAGAGTCGCACGGCCGGAGAAACACGGCTCGCGCGGTCCAGACGGGCGGGTTGGGGATTGACGAAACCGAGTGCTGCGGGAGCCGGGCGGGACCCAGAGCCGGCGGGAAATGTCGAAGGGAACAAGAGGGTGCCAGGGGAAGCCACAGCGGCTTTCGGTCGAGGAGGAGCAGGAGGCATTCGGAATGACTCCCCTGAGACAGACTCCTCTTCAGCCATTTTCCAAGATTCCCCGCGTGAGGAACTCTAGCAACCCTGGGCACAGTCCGAGACGATACGATGCTCTCTCGACATCGAAATTTCAGCTCAGAGCCGAACAAGAATCTTCGGAATCGAATCCGGAGCTCACCGATGGGAACTTCAGCTCTTCTCGTCCTCTGGGGAGCGATCGTTTCGAATCGAGAGTGAAAATTACCCTCCCCCCTCCTCCTATTTTTCTCGATCTCCTCAGATATTACGTTTCATCCGACAAGACCAAACGGCACAGTGCCGTGCCGAAAGAACTTGGAATCGGTGGCAATTTGGCAGGAGAGGCAAATAAACCGAAGTGAGCGTTTGGGTCGCCGAGGCTTGGCGAAAAAAAAACGACTGGAGGAATAGGCAAAGCGGCGCGGGGAATAGGCATGCTCCACGAAGACGAGAGGTGCAAATAACCAATCCTCCCCTCTCTTTGCTTCTCCTCCAGAAGCGAGAAGATCCTGCTGGACGCTCCCGTTCTGTCATGCAATCTTCCGTCTATCAGATTGGTCTCTGTGGACTCGTTGACTTCCACTCATCCGGGCAGTTCGTATTGCTTTTCGTTTCTCGTCTTTGCTCCTGCTACAGTCTCTCACCCGCTCGTCCGGGCTCACGGACCCGCTCATAGTATTCCAGTTCTCCGCTCCCCCTTCCACTTGGCGCTGTTGTGGACTCGCCCTCTGTCATATTAGGCGCGGCAGAGGATAGCGGTCCTTGATGACGATCGCTGTGTGATTTGCGTGCCTGGTCTTGAGGGCTCCTCGGAGTTCACTGGTCGCTTGAACTTCTGATAGCTCTCGTATCCCCAGGCGGTCACGCGCCAGGAAAATACTCGTGACGGAATCGGAACTCCCGTTAGCCGCCGGAGTCGTCTAACTGTCCCCCGGCACTCTCTAACCGCCCCGTATGAATAATTGAGGGAGCATAGGAATACCGAAATTATTGGGAACACGACGAGGATTCCTCGTCGAATATTCCTTCGGTCGGATATTCATCAGAATCCGACGAGGTCCCGCATCCGAAGCGTCTGATGAGCATCTGGCGACGAATTTCTGGTGCTGAGAGCCGGATGGGCTCCGTGTCGATAGTTCCTTCAATTCTCTATCTGTGGTCGCAACATGAGCCACAGTGACTTTTGTGGAGAACCCGAAGCTCGAGCGTTCGTCCTGCACTCCGGTGGTTCCACCAGAAGCCCTGCGAGCGCTTCCGCTTTCGGCGCTCTCACCCATCACCGCCCCCCTCCCCTCGTTGTCGTTCGGCCGCAGCTCCTTTTCGACTCGTTGCTCTCTTCGGACGAAAAAGATTTTTCAGAGAGCTGTAATTGCGACATGAATCTTTGCCTGAGGAGAAGCGTCTTGGGGGAGGAACAAAAAACGAGGAGAGGCGAGCCGAACGAGCAGCTAGTGGTATCATTTTCGTGTAAAAATAAGCCCACAGACTCGGAACTCGGACCCGAGAAGCCAAGTCTTTGACGCGGATACCGATGCTCAGCTTTTTTGCACCGTCTCCGTCACTCTGATGGCTGGCGGGTCAGGTCTGCGCGCTGTAGGGAGCGGGATCTCGGGGGCTTCGCCAAGCGGCACGGCCCCCCGAGGCCGAGCTGGGGAGCGGGAGAGGGGGCGGCCAGCAGAACCATGAGGATATATACACATTTATATACGCTGGGTTTATCTCTATTTTCCTTCGGTTGCTCTCCGCCCGTGCGGCTTCCCTTCCGGCATGATCCCTCCATGGAGCGGCAAACAGGCTGCCGGCTTGGCATCCAGGGCATAGCCGAACGGACGTAGCATTAGGATTCATCCTGCACCTCTCCCGATCGCTTCATCATCGGATGCAGCACTCTTATATTGCCGCATCTGCCGCCGCGTAAACAAGTGAACATATGACACCCTCTCCGGTGTGCAAGGCTCTGAATTCATGCCGGCTCCTCGGTGTGACCGAATATCTAGCTCGGCCGTCCGTCGGGGACCTTGAAGGGTCCTCCCAGGTCGGAGGTCGAAGAGGATCATGAATACCTTTATGATTCAGTATATTATAGAATCATTTTCGCTGGATCGGGCTCCCTTCAATCCAGAGACATTCCACTGAAGAGTCCGAGAGAGAAAAAAGTTCAATATCGGCTCAGAAAGGCCTAGTTGGTTTTGGATCACGGACTGTAATCCTCAGCCCGCAGGGAGAGAGAGAGAAATTTTTCCTCGGTTCCCCCTTCCGGAACCCAGGCCGGAACGTGACTTACAGACCCACGATTTCTGCTGTTCCTCCTTCCTCGAGAGAAACGACAATATCACGAGAGAGAATTGTGGCGAAGCCTAAGGACGCCAGCGAACCCCGCTCGTTGTGACAGAGGAGGCATGGAGGACGTAATTTGTGCTATCTTTAACGCTCGATCCGCTCTTGCAGCCGCCGCTCATTTCCGTTGGAAGTTCCGTGCTGAAACTGCGCAAAAAGGTCAACCGGTGCGTATGCAATGCGAGGCATTCGGAGATTCGCCTCTTGTCGTCACCTGGATGAAAGACAAGCAGCCCTTCGACCCGCGGACCAATCCAAGGTAAGCATGCTGTCGATACCCCATATCCCTCGACGCCCCCCTCCCGGAACGATGAACGATTTTTTTCCTCTTTCGAAAAAATGATCTCGCCTTGGTTGGCGCCAGGGAAGTCTCGCGCATCCCCCTCCCTCCGACCCATCTGGTAGGGGCAACGGTCGACCTTCATTTTGAGCCTGTTTGTTCCAGATGCGCTGTGAACGAGACTCATACCGATCGGAGTGTTATTTCGGAGATTGTCATCACGGATACGGATCGTCGAGACTCCGCCCTGTTCTCGTGCATAGCCAGAAATGCATACGGATCGGATGATACGAACATACAACTCATACTTCAAGGTGAGCACGCGACCGCATGCACCGCTACCATATCCCGACAGGGAGGCAAGGAGAGATTGGTCTACTCGCGCAAGTTTACGAGAATAACGGTCGTACGAGGAGTGCGCTCGATCCCAGGGAAAAAACTTCTCCCGAAATAGACGGGACGCAGACTACTAAGTAAGAACGAAAATCGGAGAGAGAGAGGACTAAGAGACTCTACCCACCTCGAAGAAGGAATATTGCACTCGAATGCCTGAATTCGAAGAACTGTCGACATCTCTCCTGCACTAGACCACTGAATTTCTGGCCGATCAGCAGGGGAGGCTTTCGTCCAGGAACTCCCGAATACTTTTCGATTTACCACGCCACGCCGCCACCCATTCAGCGTTGGAATTTACAATAAATCGCTCCCCATTCGCCGCGACGATGCCGGCTTGAGGGAATCTGAGAACGAACTCTGGACAAAATCGCTCTCGCAATGCTTGCGGAATTCGTAGACAAATAACGATTCGATGAACATAAAACAATGTTTTCTTCTGCGTAGTCCACGAGCGCGAGGATTCCGTCCCTTTGCGTGGAGTTTGTGCCCGGATTATTCAGATGTAGACGTGTTTGCATAGGATTTCCCCGACAATTCCGAACAGCTGCAGCTGACGTCAACAAGAGCTTCCCACACGAGTTCCAACAATACTGACAAATGTGTTTATGTTGCGTTTCGAATCCGCGTATATCCAATCGGCGGTTTCCGTCAGACCACTTGACTGGTGTGACGAGGCCCCACCCGAAAAATTGAACCGCTCCGCTACTACGGCTGCTCGGAGCACGACACCGAGTCAGAGCTCCGAATCCTCCTGCGAAGCTCCATCGGTGCCGCAGCCGTTCGCTTGAATTTTTCTCCTTTTGCCCGTTCCATGAACATGGAGACGGAGGAAAATCCCCGTTGTCAACGTGGAGGAGGAGGAGGAGGAGATAAGGATAAGATAATTGCGGAGGAGCCAGAATTTTGGAAAGAGATAAGGACGATGAAATTAGAGAGCGAGGACGAGAATCTCAACGAAGGGGAGTCCAGAGGGGTACCTCGCTTGCTTGTATGGGTTCGACGGGGTAAAAAATCGCAGCAGGGACCTTGGTGAGCTCTGAATCGGGTCAGCGTAGAAGAAGTCGACATTCCTCCACCGGGACAAAGAGCTCCTTGGCAACTACATCCGTCCTCGTTGACCACTCGGGAAGCCGTGGGCTGCTCCACTCCGCTCTACTTGGAGTGGAGCGAGGAGAAAATCCCAAGAGACTCGAAAAAGGCAAGCGGCGCAAAACTGCGCAAGGCCTAATCCCGTTCTGCCCTCCGCCTCGCAGTTCTTTGTCCCCTCTGCCAATCTCGAGCGCACCGATATTCCCGTGACACCCTCCTTTGATTTCTTTTCAATGTTCTGAATTCTTCAAGCTGCGGTCATCCCTGCTCCCGGCGTCCTTCGCCCCCGATAGCACTCACAAGCCACACCAATGAATAGCAAACCAGACGGCAAAGCGAGAGGTTCCCCCCAGGCATTGTTTAGGATACTGCCATACTGCGATCATGAGAAGCTCCAACGAGCCTACTACTAAGGAAAAGGAAATACAGAATGGATCCGCTGGGTCCCAGACAGCCCTATCCCAATATCGGCCGCCGGTGGTCACTTGACTTGGAGATGATGGCAATTCGATCGAAGACCAAAGGAATCGCTGTCGTTGCAACTGGGTTCGCTTCTCGCAACCAAGCGAGACTCACCGCTTATAATTCTTCGGAGAAGCACAGTGAGGGCCCGGAACGATTCCGCGTGGGAGCTGCGAAATCAATTTGGAGCCCACGCCTGGGGAACTGACATTGTTGGACTACGCTCGGAAAACACTTTCCCTGTTTTACGGATGAGTTTGTTGCAATTATTCCCAGTCGATCGAGTTTCGACCGCAGACTTTCTGAAAATTCCAGAGCTCGTTCCCGCGATGCGTAAAAGTTTGCGGAACTCCTCGGAAATCCCCCCGAGGATTTCCCATTGGGCGAAAACCGAGTTTTCGGATCGGTAGTACATATATGTCGAGACGAAACAACATAATTATGAGATGGAGGAAGTTTCAACTCTCGGTACGTGGCCCTTGGGGTCAGGTTGAGAAGAAGTGATGGAAGCCCCAAGTTTAGAGGACTTCAGACGCTGCTCCAAATTGTCGAACACTCCACCCGACGCGGTGGACTGCCCTTTAGACTAATACCGCGATTTGAAGCGCCGTGGCACGCCGTCGCTATTGGGTGGGTTTGGATGAGGTGGGGTTGCGGATGAGTGGGAGGTAGAGGCGGCGGATGAAGAGGAGCCGCGGGGAAACTGCCACGACGAGATTCTCATCTCTTTGAACGACGGGAGAAGCGCTGCCTTAGGTTGGAGAAAACTGCCGTCAGCTGATCACTCGATCGACCAACAAGCCAACGAATCACTGAGACGGCTACCTAGTTTGCCGTCAAGGAGTAGAACAGAGAAAAACGAGGCAGAATCTAAAAACCGGTCGACGGCTCCTCAAACAAAGACAAAAAATCTCAAACTGCTCGAACACCCGTCCGACTTTCATTTGGAATGACATTGGCCGAGAGCGCAAATATCTCGTCACGATAAGAGCTGCTCCCGGTCGAGACGACGGAAATTGCGTACAGGCACATGTGGAAATGATTTCGAAATCAATGCGAACTCAGGTGAATGTCTGAAAAGCAAATGATGCAATATATTCCGCGATGTTCCGGGAGCGGAATTTCAATCTAGCGCGCCATAAGACGGGAAGATTTCGGAGAAATATCAGATATTGGCGCCGAAAAATGGAACCCCACATTGGATTACGCTCGTCGGTCTGGGCTCGTCATCTAGAGACGAGTTGCTGGGATAGAACGTGGACGAGAGAGAGAGGAAACAGACAGTGAAGAAGAGCTGTCCTTTTTGCACTTGGCTTGCCATAGAAAGACGGAACTGAGCAGGAGTCACCACTCACGTCAGCTTTCGCTCGATCAGGATGCAGAAGAGAGCATCTGAGATGGATAAGCAAAGTGGTAGAGCCAGGAAAATGCTTGAGGGGTCGGGTCCGACCGATCTTATCGTTGGTAGTTAGTTTCAATTCTTCAAAGTCATCAAGGTCAAGGCGTTCGCTAGTCCAAAAGCAGCCGCGAGTAGGCGTGTGGGCGGGAGGCGGGCGAGAGTCAGGGAGTGCGTGCTTCGGCCTATACATCAACTCGAGGAAATTACCTTGTTCGTCCATTGTTTATCATCAGTCTCTGGTCTTCCTTCACAGAGCCTCCGGATCCCCCACAAGATGTCAAGTCCTTGGACATCGGCAGTCGGAAAATCCGTCTCAGCTGGACTGCGCCGTACACCGGGAACAGCGTCATTGTCAAGTACATCGTGCAATACCGAACGCATGAAGGTACGATCGATAGGAAGTCAATTATCCGAGGCTTTCCGCTTCGCTTCTTCACTTTGATCTTATTTTCCGATCGGGGAAAATGCGCCGGACGAAGCTCCCCAGAAGCCCTGGGCTTTCGTCATATATTTTCCCTCCGGTTGCTGAATCTTCCCGTTTCTGAACCATTGCAGAAAACTGGCACGTTCGAAAGAACAAGAACGTCACCGTGCAGGGAACCGAAACCGAAGCCGAGATCAATAATCTGCTCCCGGCCACGATGTACGTTGTTCGTGTTTTGGCCGTCAACGCAATCGGCGTGAGCGAGGTGGGGAGCGACACACACATCAAAACCCACAACGAAGGTAAACAGAATGTTTCCGTGGTTTTGTTCTCCCCGAATGGTCTGCTTTTGGCCTACGCACCATGTTCGGAGCGGGCTGCTCCCACGGTCCAGACCCCGGCGTTTCCGTCGATTTGAACGACCGTCTGGGCTTCCCGTCTATGGTTTTGGTCGCTCAATGTTCGGAAAGCACCTCCATACATTCGGCGGCGGGCGAGTCGTCGCGTCGGCTGTAGCGTCGCTGGAGGTGTCGGGGGTCGTAAAAATAATTACAGGAAACGAATGTCGTCATGTGTGATTCGCCATTACAGCTCCAGAGGGACCCCCGTTGAACGTCAGGTTGGAAGCTGTAGGGCCCCATTCTGTTCGCGTAGCGTGGAAGGTGAGTTCCCTTCATTCCTCTCTATCGGTTTCCAGTTTATCTCACAGGAAACTTCCATCGATCCCCGCAAATCGCAGACTCGGAGACGGAGGGTCATTTCTTCGTCTCCTCCCCAGACAGAAGCTCAGAATATTACATCCGGAATCAAGCGTGTCGGATGAGCGCCCAAATTCTTCGCTTCCGAGACTTCGTGATTGGCAATGCATGCTCCCCGAGCGAACTGGGGGATGTGGGGAAGGGGGGAGAGGGGGGTACTCAGGAATTTCGAGTGTCGCAGCGCGATTTCCATACTCTGAATGGGTGGCGCCGTTGTTCTCAGAATCTGAAGTCGGCCGCCGAAATTTCGCGGGATTGTTTGACCGGGAGTCCCACGAGCTGCGGTGAGACTTGACGCAGCACACGACTTTCCGCCGTTACCAAACCCGACAAGTTTGCCATCATGGGCATGTTCGTTATTGGGGCCAGCGAGCCGTCACGATTTCGTATCCACCTACTTTTCTCTCCATCTCTGCAATCTGATCAAGCCCGTGAATGGAATAATCCTTCGATAAATTGTTTAGCCACGTACTGATTCAGTACAATTCACTGATTTAGCGAGCACGAGCTCGATTCCCGGTTTCATTCTGAGAGCTGCTCAGACCTCCCGATTTTTCCCAGTGTTCCTTCGGCTTGGTGATCTAGAGGGACGCTCTTTGATCGTCTTGACTGGAACGAGAAATCAATACTGTATTGGGCTCTTCCGTTCGGAATGCAATATCGTTTATTCGCCTCCTGATTCTTTGATTCTTCTCGGTTTCCATTTCACGCCCTGTTGTGTGAATGATGAATTTCAAGATTCGCAAGAGGATCTCTGGATCCGCTTTCCAAACCCCTGTTCTAGTCACATGAGGGAAATATCAGACGGATTGCATTTATACAGCGTTCCCGGGCGTTTTGATCATTGCATCTACGTCCGCGTATTGTTATAGATAATGATGGATATTTCTCTGTAGCGCATACATGTCCAGTATAGCTTCCGCCTCATCCTCGAGCGTCCCGGTTCACGAATAACCTATGCACTCCACCTGCTCGCTCATCGCACTCAACTAGATGCATGTCTCCTTGTTCTGCTTCCTCATCGTGTCATGAGGTTCGAGTCGTTTTAATTTGATAGGGATCCACCGCTTCTTGACGAAGCGCCCCGAGTCTACAAAAGGAGTCGATCAGAAGGTCCCTCCCAGTTAGACTTTCCCTGTAGATTTCGGTTCAGGAAGAATCGGTCTACTTGACTGTGATGAGGATCTCTGATGAGCAGTAATTGTCGGTGTGAGTATTGGTTCTCATTTCGAGTGCCGCCGTTGCCTTCGCTGCGCTCTGATTCATGAGTTCGTGCTCATCACGCGTAAAGGTTCCGCGACCGAATGACCTGTTGCATCGTGATATTGGAGTAATTTGGGCCATTAATGACCTTGGCGGGCTAATAGCGAGATATTTTTTGCTCGTTCGCACCGACCTGAGGAGAGCGGGAACTTTCGGATCGGAGCTCACGGGCAAACACCGTCGGGTCATACTCTTCTATATGGGTCGACGAGCCTCGGTCATTGGCGTACTTGGAAGCCGAGTAACTTGCTGCTCGCCCGTCCGGTCCGTTGCTTAGCTGTCTGCGATGAAGGGGTCGAATGAGCGGCTGGCCGACTGAATGAGTCCGTTCTCCGCTTTTTTTTCTATTGGATAGTAATGGTCTTCCGAAGCTACATATTGACGAGTGCCCGCAGTTCCCTCTTTTTATGCTCGCAATCTAATTGGAAGTATCGCCCGCACCCAGCCGCAAGTTGCATGGAATACCCCTGAGGTCAGACATTGCAGCGAGGAAATCGGGGAATCAGCAAGGCACGGTGGAACTCTCTCCGTGAAAGAAAATATATTTTCATCGGAATTTCACCCAAGGGACGAAAAATCACAAGGGGATAATATGTCCCCAATGGAGAGCGTCGCTCGAATCTCCCGAAAATCTGGTCCACATTCTCCATATTGAAGTCTATTAAGGTTTCGCAACTTAACCGAGGTTTTTTTCGCCGTTTTCCAGCCGCCGCGCAAGGAGCTGCAGCACGGGGAGCTTCGTGGCTTCTACGTTGGGTACAAAACACGCAGCTCTTACGACGTTTTCACATTTGTCACCGTCGACCTGAAAGATGAGCAAGAGAACGAGGTCGATAACAAGCAGGGCGTGCACTTCATCAACGAGCTTCGACGTAATACCGAATACACTATGGTCGTTCAGGCCTTCAACGATAAAGGGTCGGGACCCACCTCGCCCGAAATGCATGTCAGGACCCTGGAACACGGTGAGCGGATTGTCCGTCACTTCGGCATGGTACTACTACGCAAGGAACTCGGAGAACGCCGAGGGAATTCTGATGAACTCGATGCCTTGCATCCTACCGAAAGCAGGAATATTCGAGCTGAGGCGATTGCTCGCACATTATTCAAATCTGCGCACACTCACTTTGAAAGACTTCTCGCGCAATCCGCCGCCAGGATGGCCACCTGTGCGGCCGCTTACTTAATTTGGCTGCTTCAGTGCGCGATTCGAGTCTATCCGAATCTCTGGGTGTCCACCCGCACGGTGGCTTGCGGTGTCCATAAGGAGAGCTTGTTTCTAATCCTGACTTGAACTTCAGATGTGCCAGAGTCTCCCGAGTTCACCGTCAAAGCCACCACAAAGTCCAGCATTACGTTGGCGTGGCCTCCGGTATCGCGCAGCTCCAACATCGGTGAGTACTTCCACGGGTTCACCGCCAACCCCCGTTCCCTTCCTCCGAGAACGAATCTCCTCGAAATCGAGCTCTTCGCGCAACGTCGAGCCACTGGATGGATGGTTCGGATGTGATGATCCATTCGAGCCAAGTTTCCGCCTTGCGTCCCATGCTTTGACGCCGCGTAAACTCAACTTCGAACTCGGCTCGGATCTCATTCACCCTCGGCACTCGTTCGCTTCCGATTCGTTTCGCCGTGCGCGGATATCCGCGATTGATTTTAATTTTTCTCGGAATCGGTCTCTGTGCCGACTCTTGACGGAAAAGTGAAGGAAAGGATCCCTCGATGCGGAGACGCAAGCCGCCGCCACGATGCAGCCGGGCTCGAAGCCATCTCGGGGTCGCGAAAGAGCCTTACTGCTCTCCAAAAGTTTCCGGTCGAGTTTACAGCCGAACTGATGATGCGTGACCAAAGTGAAAAGGCGAATAACCGAAACGATGACAAAGTTTCAAGAAGACTTTCGAATGTAGAGGTGTTATGCATTCGATTCCGGAAAAGAAGAAAAACGCGATCGATTACAGGGGATTTTTTTCCATCGAGAAACCTTCCGACGCTTTTTTTATTCATTCTCATGAAGTCGCTCGAGTTCCAAGGGGGACAGAGGGATCGCATGCGGCAGCGAGGTGACGTTGCGCAGAGCCAAGAGCAGTCATGAAACGCCCGACTCCAAGTGAAAGAGGCCAATGTGAAGGGCTGCCCGCTGGTAGCTTCGCATGATTGTAATGAAATATCGGTAGCGGCATCGAGATCCGACATCGAGATTCCCTTTGGGTTTTTCGGGACGATCTGAGCGACGGTCGTTTCGGCCATTGGGCGACCGGCAACCGTTCTGAAGAGAGTGACGGCACACATAAATTCGCAGCACATCACTATTTCGGCCCCTCGGTCCTCCTCCGTTCCCCCTTTCCCCCAATTTCCTCCTTTCCCCTACTCCCCGAATTCTCGACTTCTGAGAGAGAAATTCGGCGGCATTCCATTCTTGTGGGGCGCACTTGTGGCGTGGAATCGTGCGAGAAATGTCGAAAGATAGGGCAAGCTGACGGCTCTCCACACGTTCAGTCAATGCAGTTCTCTCCATCGAAGCCCGTGGCTCACAGCTCTCGGGGCTTTCGAGGGAACCGCGCCTTGGCCGGTTACGCTCGGGAACGATCGGGGAGAGACTGACTCCAGTCTCGAGAAAGAGCTCTCCACAGGAAGAGGGGCTCGCTCAGATTCCCCGCCAGATCTCGGAGAGATCCATGTGGAATTGCGCTGGAAGTCGTGAACTCCAACGATAGTAGGAAATGTTGAAATTTCTGGAATATATGAGATTCCCGCAAAGAGATGGCCAACGAAGAAGGCCCATATCCGTCAGAGACGTCTCCGGAGTAAAGGGGAATATGCAGGAGAGGAACATTGGAAGGGATCGGAGACCTTCTCCCATCGAGCGAGCGCTCGAATCCCGTCGGGGGAGCTCCAGCCTCGACAACAAAAAGCGGTCTCGCTCAGGGATCAGCGGGTCACACGGATTTTTGGGATTGAAAGGGACCAGGAGCGCTTCTTAATAATTATGGACGCAATCTGCTGGGGCCCGAAACGCGGGCGCGAGTCTCTCCCCGCTTCCCGAGCGAGCCAGACTTCTTTCTTCCTTTTTTACTTCAATACCAAGAAGCTCTCTGCTGAACGACCTCCGGTGGCGCAGTTGCAACAGCTGAAGGCGATTTTAATCGTCTTGATTTTCCACCGAGTTTTCCCGTTTTCCCCGACGCTTCCCCCCGTATCCGACTGAACCTCTCTGTCTCTCTTTCTCGGAGCCCCAACGCTCAATACCCTCCCCACCCATATCCCCGTCGACGCCCCTGTTCTCTCCCCTCATTTTTATTTCTTTCCCCTGTTCGGCGCCGCTTCTTTTTTTCCTCACTCCGGACTGTCATCACCCCTGTGACAATATCGACACTCTGACTGAGAGGGAAAAGTTTTGCCGAAAAAAAGTCCGCCATTACGTACAGTTCGAGGAGCTCGTTTTGATTTCGCCCGGCCAACTTGCTATCGCTCCACCAATATTCCCGAACTCAAAAAGAGCAAAAACGGGAATACTTGGACAGGCTCTGCGTCCGGCTCTTCCTCCGACCCCCAGCGTTTTGCTTCAGAGGTAACTCGTTCGGTAGATATGTACATTGGACGCCGACCGACCTATTCCGTAAATCCGAACAGATCTGCGGTGCTCTGACCTCTAGAATTCGATCGCGGAGAAGGCTTCTGTCTCTGATCCGCGGGAATCATGGGAAGGCTACAGAAACGGATCCGGAATTTTTCCCGGAGCGAGGGGCGATATTTCTATTGAATGACCGAACAACAACAATTGATGAATGTTTTTCCACGTAGCAACATTGTTCGTCTAGTGTGGCGGCTGTTTGGCAGACGACGACGACGAGCTCCTATTGTTAATCGTTCCCCCAAGAAATCGCTGCCTCGTTCCTCCTCTCTCCAGCGAGTCGATGGATGACGAAGGTAACGATCTGCCAGTTTACCCGCCGTATTGGTCGGCGGGTGAAGCTTGATTGGGTACAAAAAAGGTAGGGGTAAGCGTCTCCGCTCTTCCCTTCGTGGATGCTCCCCGCTATTTTCCCGATTGTTCGGCTCCCGAGGCGGACCCTGTTTGTGAGCTGTCATGTCGCGACAAGCTCCCCGGGGCCCCGCTTAGGCTCTGATCGGATCATCGAGGGAGTGCGAAGATTCCATTGAGAGCCGGGGGATCGCAAAATGTATTTCTAATCGTTGCCCAGCCTTCCTCCCACGAACTTCCCGATGCTTCGATCGTCCCCAATCATCGATTTCCTCCCCAAGAGTCACTCGGCTAGTTTGACCATGATGCACTCAAAGTAATTCGCCTCTATCATTACCGTTACGTGTCTCTTCTCATTCCGCCTCAAGTTGAGATTGGCACGGCTCAGTGGATGGTTGAAGGCACGAGACAGATGGGATGATAAGCGGTGGAGGGTATCCGCGACTCTACGAGAAGGGCGAGGGAAAGAGGCAGAAAATAACAGGCGGAAAGCGTCAAGTAATCTGATTCCTCCGGAAGCCCGTTCCTGGGCTCGTCATAAAAATAGGCCGCTCCGGTCCCCTTCGTTGCCATTCGTTTTCATTTCACGTTCGTCCGTTCATCCGCTCGATCTCAGAGAGCCCCGATCGCGATGGTGGCTGATCAACATTGGTGGGGATTTCAGCCAGAGATGCTCCCGGTTGGAGAATCCGAGCGTTTTTGTCCAATGCAGACCCCGAGCACACTTCGCAAGACTTTTTCGCAGACAGCCCTCCCCTGCTCGATCGGAAATTCCTCCTCTTCGATTCGTTCCTTAAGAAAAACTCGCGGAGCCGGCGCGGCGTCCCGTCGCGGTTCACACGCGGAGGATCGAATAATCCGTATTTACATGGGTTCGAATGACCCCATCCTGTCACTTGGCTTCTGCGGAACACCGCTTCTTGCAAATGCCTGACGTCACTTGGGGTTGAACTCCCGCAGATCTGAACAATCCTGACAGCCAGACGTCAAACGGGACCCTCACGGTATCGCTATTTTTTCTGGTTCGTCTGTCCGTGTTCGGCTAATTATTGTTATTATCCGTCCTCTACACTTCTACCCGATGGTGAGCTCACTCCCCGCTTAGCTGGAGGGCTGCTCGGATGACTCGCTATCTCGCTGTCGATCTCGATGGCCGCACGGCGGCGGCGGCGACGACGGAGTCCTTGTGTTGTCCCTCCTAGTCGCAGTAGCCGTTTTCTCCGCTTCTCCATGCGACCGTTGTCAGTTGGTCTCTCCATCGTTCGGCCTTTTCTTCTCCTCCTATCGGGGACGCGATGGAGCAGAAAATTGAGATCATCCTGCTTGCCACTGCGGCTGGCCACCATCGCAGTTGCCACCACAGCGGTCCTGTCCCCAGTGGGTCATGGCGCGTTCCGTCAGCGTGAGATTGATCCAGAAGCTGCTCCCAGCGAGATCCAACACTGGGGATAGGGTAAGAGCGACAAACAAAACTAGGATCGCATGGAGCCCGTCGAGTACACCGGGAGTTACCGCGCTTTCTGCCCAGATTTCGGCGGTCCGAAAAACCGAGAGGAAAAGTCGAGAACTTCCGGCCAAGGATCCATGCGCGAGGTGGGAATCGGGCGCGTCTTCACGCTAACGAGGATTCCCTCACGGAAAGAACGCTTCCGCGTATTCATGAAAGAACCCCCCTGATCAGCTCGACTCGGTTTCCCTTGTACCGATACGTATCTCCTCACGCAGACGAACATGTTTCTTAAGCGGATTTTATTTTCCAGGTTACAATGTCTACTATCGGAAACAGAAATCCGGCGAATGGATGAAGTCTCCTGTGCTTAAGAACGCGCTCAGCCACACTCTCGGAGGCCTGGAATGCGGCCAGAAATACTTCTTGTACATGAGGGCGGAAAACTCGCCCGTCCGGGGGGAGCCAAAGAATCTATTGGCAGCATCGACGAGCGGTGTTGGTGAGTATTCTCTTCAATTATTGCTTCAGAATATCGAGTCTCCAGCCTATCGTCACCATGAAACCAGAAGAGCGACCGGACTCAGGGTCATTGATTCCTAGTGCCCGCCGCGAAAACCTCCAAGTGATCCCGCCGAGGATCCGATGCTTAGCGTCTAGATTGATAGATCCGGACCGGATCAATCGTCCATGTTCCGAAACGCCGTTCTCGAGAAGATCCTCTTTGTTTCCAATCATTCGAATCCCTCTTCCCTCGAATCACATTTCTGGGAAGAGACTTACGGGGTATGGAAACCGGATCATTTTTCGCTTGTTCTCGACCTCCAGAGCTCATAAGGAACCCAATCTTCGGTGGTCCAGAAGGTTCGGCTGGCAGTGAGCGACGACCGTTGGATCTTGGAGGGAGACGGATCTGAATTTTTGGCAGGATTTTCCAAGACAACTTCTACCGGGACTACAACTACAAGTGGCAGAACACGAAAGCAAACAAAGAACTCTATAAATTCCACTTCATCTGGAGTGGCTCGTCCCCGCTTTTCCTTCTTCTCACCTGTCAAGGAAACGAACAAGCTTGCCGAGGAAGTACTCGACAGAGCGGGGCTCGGCAATCGAGAGGAGAAGGGAGAGATCCAGGAACGGACGGGCGGGAAAACGTTTTGCGGATGGGCAGGGGACGCAGGCCCGAAAGACATAGAAAGCGAGCGATAGAGGGAGAAAAGAGCTAAATTATCAGGAGTTATCCCCAATCTATTCCTTCTTGTCGGGGAAAAGGCCGGGGATAGGGAGGGAGAACGTGGGAAAAACGTCGGGAAAAAGGACAGACAGGCCCAGAAAAGAGTTTCAGGAACAAGCTGGGAGAGGCGAGTGGTCGAAGACTCGAGGCGGGAAGAGGGGGGCGAAACGAGGAAAGAGGGGTGAGGAGGCGGAGATCCCGGGGAATGAATTGTCTTCACCATAAATCTCTATTCGTGCCAGTTGTCGTCTGTAAGTTTGCTCGACCGGCAGACTGTATCTCAGTCTGTCTCTATTCGGAGAACACCCACCGGCCGAACCAGTGAGGCTCCCCCCTTCGATCCACCCAGCCTGACACCCCTCAGGCCCGGCCGTCACTGTCCTTACTCGCCAGAACCGGTCGACTTTGTTCTTCGAGTGCACAGTCCGTTTGCGAGGATGAAAATTGTCGACCAAGAGCGGAACTGGAGAATCAGTCGCGCAAACATCGCGTGACTTCTGCTGACAACCAGACACTCCTAGGCTATGATCCCTCCCGATACCGGTGTTGGTTTCATCTCGTAAGAAGCTCGTGCCTTCAGTGGGGGAGAGTCCTCATCGCATTGATCAGTCAACACGCTTTCCCTCGCGAACGGATATCTTCGCGAAGCCCTACGAGGAGGGAGCGGACCGCGATCGTTTCCGAATTGAATGTGGGATCTCAGCTGTACGTACGTCACCGTTCTATTCGGTGTCTCCGTCAGGCGAACAGATTCTATGAAAGCTCCACAGATGGAGCGTGGGGAACATCTCCACATGACGACTGCGCGAGCACTCCCGTATCGCCGGATCAGGAATCAGAAGTCCTGAAATCAGCAGCTGAACTGTTCTAAGTGACGCCGAAGCCGACGACGCGATGGCCCATCTGGTAAAAGCTGCAATGCTGCCTTCCAGGGCGCTCGGCTCAGCTCTCCCGGATTTTGCTCTGTCCAGACCGCCTCTGTTATTTCGGTTACCGGTTCTGACTCCTGACCGAAACAATCGAGTTCGACAGGGTCTGCACCGAATTTTTCGGGGCCGGGGAAAAAACAGACGAAGCGTGATCAGTAGCGAATGACTCTGTCAGCAGGGGGCCGAAGAACGTAACGGAGGGTGAAAAGTAGAGAACAAGGAAATCTGGGAAGCGATAGTTTCGGACCAAAAAAACTTGACGCCGGTTCGGCTGAGGGCCAAACCGAAGTTCGCGTAGAACTACGGAGAATGCGCTCGTTTAGAATGAGTGGAGCACTCAAATGGATAATTTGGGCTCGCGTTTCGAGCGTGACTCTTTATCGAAACGAGAAAGTGAAGGATAGCAACGCCCGCGCGGTTTCACGATCGAAAAATGTCGGCTCTGATCATTCAACAATCCAGATACTAACGCTCAATTACCCTGCGACTTCACTGTGTCCTCTCTCTTCTCTCGGCCGCATTACTTAATCAGACCTATACGGCTTTCCGTTAATCTCGACTCATAATCTATCCCACAACCGGCAATTATTCACAAGCAACCTTCATTTCACCTCCCGATGTCTTCTTGAGATATTTTCTCGAAGAACGGGTCGTCGCGCCACCGGAGCTACCTGTAATTCTATGAGAGATATGAGTTCTATGTGCAGGTGTCGAACTCATACACGATATGCTCCGAGAGAGAGCTGCGGGTGCATCCATTTTAGCAGCGTTTGTCGGCTAGTCTCGTCGGAGCAATCCGCCTTATTGAGAAGTCATCGCCGATGACATGGGTAATGATCCCGCCTCGCAATCTGAATCGTTTGTTCGTACATATCAGATCCAAATTAAACAAATAGGAGAGCCGTATCCACGATGTGTTCGAGTAAACTATAATTCATTGAGGAATGAATGATCATCCCCGCGCGTCCAAAAAATCAAGCCCACGGAGTCTCGTTTCTCCAGCTCTAAGATTGATGGGTTTGATAGGTTGATTGAATTGATCAATGAAGGGATTGACGAAGAGCTTCTCGGATTGCTGCAAAATGAACAGGAGCCGCCATCGGCCGCCCCCGCCGGCAATTGTGTCCACTACTTTCCACTGAAAGTCGAAGTTCCCGTTTCGGGAATGAACGACATCGAGAATTTCGATTTCACCGAAAACCAAGTCGATTACCAGAATCCGCACTGTCATTATATTGGACTGAGGGAATCTCCTTTGGTTCCTTCACCATTCATTCCTGTCAGCGCGGCTTCGAAGAGGAGCGGCCGCCGCTGTGGCGCACTGATTCCAATCGGTGCGGCTGTCAGAGAACAGCCGCGGCAGCGAACGCAGCGCGCAACGCGCAACACGACGAGCGCGGCTACAGGTCAAATAGATCCGCCTTAGAGCCTATATCTTTCCGCTTGCATAGAACTTCTGACGCGGTTGAGAGCAATGTTCTTGCTGTGCAGCATTCAAGTTTGGAATCCGTGACGAATTTCGTCTACAGGCAAACACTGAGCGCTCCACATCGTGGGGGGGAGGTGTGGAACTTCTTTGGACTGGACCGCAGAAACAGAGATTGAGCTTTCGGAAAACTGCATAATTCCACAACAGAAGGGCTCGACCTTATGCCACCACTCAAAGGCGCTACACACTCGAAGACCCGTCAGTCATTGACCCGGCCTACCACGGAGCCAATGCAGTAGACCGTGAACGCCAAGCGCCATATGATCAATTTTGAACTTCTACTCCTCTTCGCGCGCTTCCGGTGCTCTCAGTGGGGGAGCTTTTGTGTGAAATGGGGGTGCGCAGAGAGTCACGTACATGGATGCCGAGCTTAGTTCGTAGGTTTCCAACCTCGAGACAGTTTTTCCGGGTCTTTTGACGCCGATTCCTGTTCGACAAAAAACAGTGACTTCCGTTACACGAGATTTCACCAATAGCCCCTCTAACGAGCGCAATGACGTAGTTCTACGTCAAAAAACAGCGGATGATGGAGCAGAGAGAATTAAAAAAATCCGCCGAGCAACGAGTCGCGCATTCCGGTTCGATGGGACAAGTAGATGCAAGTCACGCTCGGAGCAGTAGCGAAGCCCCAGGCTAGTTCACAGATCCTAGGGCCATGCCACCTTGACTTGGAGCTGAGATTCACTTGAGCATCTCAGATACCATAGCCCGAGGCTAGAAGGTGACACAGGGACCTCTCGTCTCCTCGCTCTACAACACCTCCTTCATCGGTAACACTCCTCGAGGGGGAAGGGCAAAAACCTCAAGACAGAAGAGCGTGTGATATGAAGCCACCCAGAGAATATTGTGACAATGAGTTATTCCAGACAGAGCCCCGGCGGGAGCGGATACGAGAGTCGATACCCTCAACTAATTCAATCATTTATTATTTCCTTCGCAGCACCCACCGCTCCGGAGAAACAACATCTGCTCAGTGGGAACGCTACAGCCATAGCTCTGAACCTGGCCAGTTGGAGAGAAGGAGGCTGTCCCATAGAATCTTTCCAGATCAAGTACAAGGTACAGAGCACGCTCGACTGGATCACCGTCCCGCGAGGCGATGATCCCGGCTCAAAATCGCTAGTGCTCACCAATCTTGTGCCGTCGATGCCTTATCTGCTGTTGGTGAGAGCTACTAACAGCGCCGGCACCACGGAGGCGCAGTATGACTTCGTCACATCGCATATTGCGAGAGGTGAGTCGAAAGATCACGAAAACAAATCGACAGCCTAACGAGAAGTCAACGAAATTGCGGCAAACGCCACGATTACCTTCGCCGTAGCAGGAGTTCCAACATTTTCGCTCGAGGTTGGCGAAAAATAAACGCCTCCTCTCGGCTACCGAGGCGTGGAGTCGGCAACGTGCTTCAAAATTAGATTTGCCGCCCGGAGCAAAAGTGGGCCGAATGACAAAATATGCTGAGAGGTAGAGCGTGGCTCCGAACCGAAAGGTGCCAGAGATTGTATGAAGGGTGAAAGAGTAGTTACGGAGGGAAAAAGCGAGAGAGTCCGACACAAGAAGCGGCCACGGCGGAGGCGACAACGCGATGGACGGAGATAAGCGCTTACAACCTACGACACACCCAGATTAAGCGCCTTCTCTTCTCACCAGTTACGCCCACACTGTCGTGCGGCTTTCAAACATATTACCACACTCTGATACGCGTCGAAAAGATTCCCTCGTGTAAACACTCCTTGACGACACTGGGGACCCTCTCCAATGCACTGTTCAGCTGACCGATGTCTATGCGTGTCCTCGCACTGGGGAGTGCATACTGAGAGAGCGTACTGAGGTGCCCATACGGAAGTACATACGTACGTCGGCGTTCGCATCTGTGCACCGCAAGAAAACTACAAATAAACAGCGGTCAACTCCCCCCATTCACTCGAAGCTCAAGAAGCTCTATGGGACACCCGCCGGAGACTCGACCCACCGAATTCTGAAGACGCTGTCCTCCACGACGAACGATTTGGCAAGCTCGTCCGGAGGGGGGTGAATGAATGAAGCCTTCCATTCGGTTTGGAGCCGGGAGCTGCCGGGAGTTGCGCAACCACCAACGCGATTAAATAAGCATTCAGTCAGACGCGTTGCAACAGTCTGTTGTCGAGTAAATTTTTTTCGCGTTTGAGCCTTCTTTGCTACTTCACAATGAACCACATAGCAAGTCGCCGTCCGAGAACTCCGAAACATCGTGCGGCATCCGAGGGAGCTGCATGATTCGATTTTCGGGCAATAATATATTCTTTCGACCTTCCCAGCACACGTTAAAAATTTCTGCCCGACCTCAGTTTTTGTGGAGGGGAATTTTGAAAATCTCTGCAAGGTGACCTCAATTCGGTACTGACTCCACGAAGAAATATTCCCTAAAAATTAGAATGGAGATCGGCTTTCCAATTTTTCCATGGGCGAGAGGGAGCGACAAAGAGGTTCCATTCAAGGTTTTTGTTTAGTGAGCGGGGCGAGGGGACCGACTGGGAGGGCGAACGCGCGGTCAGGCAGCCCGGCCTGGCACCGTGATGTATAGCCCAAAAATTGTTCTCTTGAGACTTCCGCTCCGACCGTTGTAAGAACTAACGATGACGGTGGGGGTAACTGGCCGGGAAGCGCCACTGAGCAAAAGAGCGCGGGCGTGCGGGTGGCAAATAGGTGTCTGGAGGGAGAGGAAACCTGGAGGACAGGGGAGAAGGGACTGGGCGAGCACGGGGTTCCTCGGAGAGCAGTCGAGTGTGTGTGGGAGTGAGCAGCTCCTGCTATAGTGAGCCTTCCTCTAAATCTTGGCTTTGAATAAAGAGCTGATGAGGACCCTGATGAAGATCGTGATGCCCGCGATGGGGATTTGAGAAGCATCGAAAAAGCATTGTTCCCAGCTCCGTTTGTGTAGCAGGCTCAGAGCTGCTGCGCTCGTGGGCTATTTTCCGCGATAGAGTATTCAAAGTTAACACCTTCTTGGTTCTCTTATTCCCCTCCGTCGCTGCTGCCGTCGCCGCCGTCATCTTCTTCTTCCTTTCAAAATATGTCTAGATTGATTAAGTGAGCTTTTGAGCTCAGCACTCTTTAACCTGGGCGCAGCGAGTCTATTGTGAGCTCCGAACGACAAGGCGACGAGCGACCTTGACAAGACGAGGGGCAGCCACTAACAATGACGTCACTTTTCCTCTATCTCGCACAGTTCCCATATCTCGCTGCTCCAAGCTCCTCCCCTCAAACTCTCATCCCGTCTTGGAAGACGTGACAATTTTGCGAAGCTTGGCGACCTTTCCTCTTGTCGCTCAGCGGTGTATTGACCGATCTTCGGATACTCTCGGTCCTCTGATTCGCATCACTCGAAAATGTTCGTTCACTTTCGGAGATCGCAACAGGAATGAACTTCTGCCGAGCTTGGTCGGTGTTTCGCCCTCGGTCCAAGTCCCTCGCAGGGGCATTTCTCACTTGCGCTAGACGAGCATTGGTTCCCCTCGCTCCCACCGTACCGGGAGTCCTCCACTTTGGTGTCGGGGCTCCCGAAATTCCCCTCTCAAAATCCAGCGCATGTGCTTCGCTCAAGCCGATGACGTCCCGTATTGTAGACCAAACGTCGCTGCGTCGGCCGCTTGCGTGCATTTCAGAAACTACGGCTCATTCAGTCCGGTCAGTTAGTCAGTCAGTCAGTCGGGGAGTCAATCCGGCTCGGAGCTGACTCTTCATTAGACGGGAGTACGCACCCGCGCTCGGCCATCAATGGAGATCGATGAATGGAGAAATGCTCCGAGAAACTAGATGCCGAGAAACAGCTCCTCCCGTCGGCATCTTTCCCCGTTCTCGGCGAGTCTTCGCCCCGCGTGAGGCTCTCGCTCGTTCGCTCCGGACCGTTTTTCTCTCGTCTCTATGAGAAGGGGTTGAGCGAGGTTGTGCGTCTCTACGGATTGGTTGATACATTCGGAATTATTGAGAGAACGAGGAAACATTAAGATAACAAATCGTCGGTGATGCCAGCGAAAAGCCACCGTCCGCCTCTCCAAGGCCGTTTAGCATGAACTTCATCAATCTATCTAAGAGGGTCTCGCGTTTTTCTCTTTCTGTCGGAGTAACGTCGCGCAAGAAGATACGGACGGGAGCGAGAATAAAACGAAGGGTTTTTGGCGTGTACAGGATCCCACGAGGAGGAGTCTAAGGCGCCGTCGACTTAGCTCAACCAAGGGTTAGCGGAGGGCGGAGAGGGTCACTGGCGCATCGGATTCGAACTCGAGAGGAATAGGGGGCTTAGTGTCGGCTGTGCCGGAAGGCTCGTGACTCCACAAAGAGGCAGTTCCGACTTTGAATTCATAAGGAGGCGAGAGGCGATTGCGTCTTGAGTTAGTGCGACGCTCCCGAAGGGGGAAACGCTCAATGTTTCGCTTAGTTCCCCCCTCTCCCGTCACCCCGGCCATTCCCCCGCCTCCTCCGCCTCTGTCCGCGGGCTCGTAGTCATCTATTGACGCGTATTTACATTCGGCCAACATTATTCATAGTCGTCCTCGGTGGCTCGGAGGCATCTCGATTGGCTGCTCGTTGCCATCATGAAAAATGAACTGGCTCGCTAGATGAAGGCTTCTACCCGTCGTGTGGGACTCACTCGCTCGCTCGCTTGCCTTTCATATCAGTCCGCACGACCGTCCTTCCTTCTAGTTCGCATCCCTGTCCTCTCTAGTGCTCCTTGTCTCTCCTGGACGCTTCATCAGCGTTTCCGTCTCCGTCAGGAATATTCCTCGCGCTCTTCCGATCCCGGTTTTTCCGTCGGAGGCCCGTCGTTCGAAATTCATCCACTCCGGAGGCGAACGTGGCTCGTTCGGAGAGGAGGTCTCTTCTTGGTAGAAATTCCCGACATCCGCAAATCCTCGTGGCGTCCGCCGATTCACGGAGTCTGAAAATCATGGCAGGGCGATAACTTCCCTGGGAATTCTTCCTCTCGTCCCGCGTCCCTCCTGTTCTGTTCTTCCGCTGGTCTCGTTGCTTGATTGTCTCGCTGAGAGGGAGGGTCTTCGTGGTCTATAATGTGACGGCGGACTTGGTAGGAAGTCCGTAGAGAAGCCGGGGTATTTATTGTATATAAGAAGAACAGCGTTTCCGAGCAACCCAACAAGCGGCGACAAACGGGCAGACGGTTAGCTGGACGTATGAAACCAGCGGGCCGGTCGTCTCTGGCCTCCTCTCTAAATCATCCCGCCGAGTCGCCCCCGAGCCGATGATGAGGTCGTGAAATGCTGGCTTTATGTCTTTCGAGGAGCAAGCCTCTCATTAGGCTGAGACTGCCCTGCCGGCTGCTGGCCCGGGTGGTTAGGCGGCTTCGTGGACCGCTCTGTCGCTTGAGTACGTGTTCGAATGTCTCGCCGGCTCCTCGACAGTAACGGCGATTCTACGATGATCGATCGGCACGAGGAACAAACAGCGATCGGAACGGCCTTTTCCCTCCACGTGATCATCCTCCGTGGATAAGTTCGGGATTATCTCCTTCCTCAGATATCTTTGCTGATTTGATTCCATCTCCGTGACCGGCTGGTTCCCGGTGCCCGACAATCATGGTCCCGTCGTGCTCATCAGTTGGTCAGTTTGTTCGTCGTGAGCTCGCTCACTCAGAATCAAAGACTGCTTCAGATTGCTCTCGAAGTGTACGCGAGGGAAAAAACGAACCGGTCCGATTCAGCCGAAGATTCAGCCATATATGGATAGATGGCTCGGCCTCACGCGATTCGGACATTGCAACGCTATTTTTATGGACCGCGGATTCAAATGAGATGTCGCACAGCGCAGAGAGGACGACGGGACCGAAGACCCAACACGAGACGACTGGGCGAGCGAACGCACTCTACCGATTGGGTTTGTGAGTGCGGATTTTTTTTGTCCGAGCTCTTTCTCTCTCCGTCTCCCGCTCCGTGTTTCTCAATTGGTCGTCGATAGTCCGATTGCAAGTTCTCGTTTCACTTCCTCCGAGTCGAGAGACTTCCCTTTTTGTCGCGCACTGTTGCGACGCCTCTCAAACTGTAGCGAGAAAGAGTTGGGCGACAAACTCGCGGAATTTCCGGAGCGATTCCGCGAGTACCTCCACCCGACTCACGAACTCCCTGCACAGTGAATTCACGCTCGGTCCTGATCTGAATTCATACCCCAGATCCGGAGTCCGGGATCCCCGAATCCATTCCGAGTTCTCTACTCACTCGTCTCATTGGATTGCCTGAAAGCTCGCGGCCCGTTCGAACGAACTCGATCGAAAGAGACTTCGCCGCGAGCTGCGCCTACCGCGGTCGAATTATCCGGTCGAAGGTCACCTCTTCTCACAGCGGCGGCTGGTCCTGAGTGAGACCCCTCCCAGTCCCCGCTAGCGGAATGTCCTCGTATTTCGTTCTCTGATAGTTGTGGGCTCGTTGCGCATTCATCGGACAGCATCAAACCGCCATTTGACACTTTTGGAGAGGTGTGCTCAACATATATTTTTTTTCGTCCACCGAATGCTCTGCAATATTCCTGTCAATGACGGTCGACTCGAGCAGGGGCGGACTGTCGAGCTCGTTCGGAGTAAATTGACGCCGATGCCGTCTGTACATACGGAGTCAGCAGTTTCGTCCGAATCAAAAAGTCCAAAGTCGATTCTTTGCGATACGCACGGTCGGGGCTCGCAGGATCGCCGGGGCCGTGGGAGCGCACGACCGGTCATCGCTGTCAAACGGTCATCCAATTTGTAGCAGTGTTGGCGAGGTCTCGCACAACGCGTAGAAAATTCCGATATGGGACTTTCTTCTATTCTCCGTTCTTCTTTGATTCCCTCTCGGCCGCTATCTCGCGCCGAACGAAGTCCCGAATCGTCATCACTAGCATCGACGGCGATGCCGGCTGTGCCTTTTATCGGTGACTTCGACCTATTCGAAGTGTGTATGTACATACATTCGAGAGCAGCGGACGGAGACACCAGCACGGAGAGGATCTTCGCCTTCAGATGAAAGAATTTTCGACGGCGGGCGGCGCCCTCGAAATTACATTCTTATCGGATTCGTGAGACATTCGCTAAAGGAATTCTAGCGCCTCGGTTATCTGCGACGACGTCGACTCTCGTCAAGTCCTCAACGAAGACGGGAAACGCGGAGCGACCTCAAGATGTCGTCTCCTGCGTTTCCCTCTAGGAAATTCCTCGAGATTCTCGCCCTTGTTCTTTAGGAAGTCACGGCGAGCCGGTCTCGTGAAAGTCTCATCTGGCGAATCGGTGCCCTCCGAGCGATGCCACGATCCGGATTTCTTATGTCTGCGACGGAGAGATAGAGCGACGAATGAGACTACGGAGGAGAGCACAGAGCGAATGCGCGATCCGCGAACGAGGAGGGAGAGACGTACATACTTCTACCGGTGTCGTGAACATCTGCTTGCGGCGGCGGTTGCGTGATTGCGCCGAGTCGAAGCACCTGACCGAGTGAACGAAGTCGGAAAGATTTAGGCGGGCCATGAATTTTGACAAGCAGTAAATACCTCAGACATAGCTATTCGAGATCCTTCCCCATCGTTTCCCGTCAATTTTTTTCCTCATTCGTTCATATCTTTCTCCGCACCCCTCATTTCCTTCTCGTCTTCTCCGCGTCCAACCTCTCGGCATGGGATCGGGCTCGGCTCGGAACCCGTGGTTGGGCAAGGCAAGACAATAACGAGAATGTGAGAAGACGTCAACACTGTCGACAGACGAGCCTTGAGGGTGATTACAGGATTACCGTCATCCGTATTCCTCAATCCTCGGCTCCTACTCGGAAACTTGAAATGCGACGACATCCGTACTCAGGACGGCTGTGATGAGCGAGTTTGAATGAACGAATTCGAGCATGGTCTCAGGTCTCAGCCCTGCTATGTTCGGGGAAGACTCAGGGAGCAAAAATTATCCCTCCTTCTTTTTCTTTCCAGATAACCCGTTGTCTTCCACGGTCGGAGCCCGACGTTCTCCGTTTTATCTTCAGCTAGAAGTGGTGTTGCCCGTTGCCGCTTCGGTGGTCGTTGTAGCATTGATTATTGGTGCTGTATGCTTTGTGCTCAAAAACAGAGACATACAATACGACGGTGAGTGTCTACTATCGGTTTATTCAGGTGTAGCGATCTTGCGGACACTCCTCTCAATGTCCTGATTCTTCTCCCATCACTGGCGTCCGTATTCGATATTTTCTATTGGTATCGAAAGTTCTGGGACAGACCGATGGGCTCACACTTCATAATTGCCGGAGCGCCTCAACGAGGCTTTCAGTTGAAAATCGAAGCGTCACAAAACATGTGGGCCATGCGCGAAATCTACTCGAGCAGCTTCCTCGGACGTTTTCTTCTCTACGTTATCTCTGTCGGATCGCCCATATCATCGACAGACCCTTGTTCCTTGCTGCTGATGAGAAGTGGGGGACTCGTCTCTTCGGTTGTTGTACGGCACGGCCCCCACCCTAAGGGTGGCCGCAATCAGATGGAAAGATCCACCAGGGAGTTCAGCTTGAGCATATTGCTAGCGGAAGCGGGGGAAATGACGGTGAAGATTATGCATGAGAGAATGGATAACCCACGAACCAGGGACTCAATAGAATACTGGTGAGATTACGAATCACCAGCGCCGACGAGAGCGCGGAATGGAGTAATGTGAAAACCTCAGGAAAATCGAACGAAGCCTGAAGAAGAAGTTTCGAGGGAGAGTATGTTCGGGAGGATTTCCGTGGGGAGAGAACATTGCGAGGTAATGCGGTAGCAATTAAGGAAGCAGTTATGGCGTGAATTCCGCACGATACCAGCGGGGAAACTCAAGGAAGAAAGACAGTCGTGTTGCAATAACTCGCTCGCTCGCGATGCTCACACGCTCCGATAGAATCCGTCTTACATGTACAAAGATCGTTGCCGGGATCCTGAGCCGAGGCTCGAACCCGTATCTCTTGAAAATAACGAACAAAGACTATTATATCGAGGGTGTCGCAGGCGAGAGCACAAGATTCTGCCGATAATTAAAACTTATTTAAGTCTTGGACTCTTCCTTGCCGACGACTTTCTCGCTGTTTCTTCTCGCCTGACCTGACTTTGACGGAATTCCGCCCTCTTGTATCGTTCCTGATCGCGTCTTGATTGGAACCTGGATTCCTCTCACCCGATCATTCCGGCGCGTACAGCGAGCGCCGCCACAACAACTATGTTCTCCCTTTCGATTCGATCCGGAGGGTGAGTGAATTCAGACTCTCGGATGTTTGCTCTGATCGGCTCCGGAAACAGAGCAAGCCGAGTTTTCGAGTCAATTCGAAATCACGGGAGGCTTCGAATCGGAAATCCAGTCGGCCGCTCGCGGAGGGATTAAATATTTGATGAGTTTCCCCTTTGGGAAAGCGTCGCCGTCTCATGAGAGCAGGAAAAATCTCGATTTGAGCCGGGGAAATCCGAGTATATTGTGGGGCAAGGGACGAGGGGGAAGCGTAGGGACGTTCGGAGCGAGAATTTCCGGACCGGTATCCGGATTTCGCCGGGGAGAGAAGGGAGGGGACTCGGAGAGAGGAGAGGTGCAATTCTGAATGATCGAAGGGCATTCGGAGCGGGGAGCTCCAAGTGATTCCCAGACGAAAATAAGCGCGACGACAGAAGAGAGGAAGAAAGATTCCGAAGCTTTGAGAAGAGGAGAGCACTCTACGATCGTCGCCGAATGATCCGCGTACGGCGGAGGAACGTGCTGGAAGGGAAGGAAAAGAAGGAGTTGAGTGCATTTTGATTCCTCGGCTTGTGCCATTGTTGTTCCGAGCAATGGGATTTGAGGAATTTCCTCCAGAGTTAGAATGAGAAGAAGGAATAATAAGGAACGATTCGGTCCCTCGCAGGTCTCTCGCCCCTTATCCATGAATTTTCCCTGCGTACTTCCTTGGAGTTACTCCCCTCCCTCTCTCATGTCGAGATACGGGGCGCGTTAGACCGGAGACGAATATTCCTCAGTCAGCTGTTTTACAGGTCGGAACTCAGATGCCGTGGGCAATCAGTCAGGATATTGCTTCCGTGTATGGATCCGAAGGCAAATATGGCGACCGATGGAACCCGGCTGGGATTCCGCTCGTTCCTCCAGACGGGGAATAAGGTTCCGCCGCCGCCGTGTTCGTTTGCTCGGAAGGGTCTTGGTGCCCTGCTGCCGATTAGGAACAACGAGCATGCGGCAGGCTCTGAATGTGAGGCGGCCCCAGTCGAAAAGATATCGATGAACCGGTTCCCGGAAAAGGAGGAAGGGAATGTGGAACATCAGAAAGCGAGGGAGATTAGCGAGAACTGGGGATGATCGGAAAGGGTACCACGGGCGAGCGGGGCGAACAGACAGGCGTGAAGCGGGAGCCATTCATTGTCTCGTAGTCACTTTTGTGGTGGTTGCAGCGGTCATGGTCGCGGCGAGTGGTGGGTGGGTAGGTGGTCGGATGGTTGGTTGGTTGGTTAAGCAGCCTTTTCTCTGACTCGCTGCTGTTCACTCCCGGCGAGAGGTTTTTGCGACCAAGTTCGACTACTTTTCCTTTTACGCCCACTTGGACCGGTTGCGAGTAGAATGGAGACCGGCCGGGACGACGAAAACCTTCACTAGCGACGAGCTTTATCAAGGGCTCGATGCCTGATTGTGATGTCGCTGGGACTTCGGGGAAGGGGAGGTGGGGCCGATCCGTTCCTCGATTCCGGCGATTAGTCTTTTGCGAGCTCCGAGGTTTTATGCCGACAGAACGAGCGACGGCGCTAGTTTTTGCCGATTGCTCCGATTCGTCGTCTTGAACGGTCGAATGAATGACAATAGAAGGAATCGCCGACGACGCCGACGCAGAGACAGTGGAAGAAGGGTTTTCCGAACGAATGCGAGCGCGAGAGAGGGATTGATAGACAAAATAGTTGCGCAGGAGAAACAAATGAATCCGGTCGGCGGGCCCGCTCTTGTCGAGCCGTGCGCATTGTGCGATCTCTACGATGTCGGCGACTGTCAAACGAATACGCAACCGACTAAGTGAACAACAAAGGAACCAACAAACTAAGCGACTAACCAACGAACGTTCATGTACACAGGGGAACACGGACAACACACGCGCACCGGGGAGGGATCTGGGACTATGAATGTGGAACAGGGGAATGAACAGGGGAATTTATGGAGATTCGTCTCAAAAAATCATCGAGACACCGTAGAGAGGAGATACGATTTCGCGTCGATATCCGAAATGACTAACTCCGAGAACGAATGCTCGAAGCGTTCGGACGAATTCCGATGCTGATCCACAAACAGACCTACGCACACCGAGACGGATGTTCGTGCCGACTCCGGTCCAGTGAGCTGATGGAACAGAACGGAAAACTTCGAGAGAGAATTAGACCAAGTTTCCGTTGGTTCGTAAGCGATGCAAATATTTGCGTAATTAGTGGCCGTCTCCCTGCCGGGGGCCGACTCCTCGGATCGCTAGGCTTGTTGCCAACTGACTACAACTACGACTACTCATACCACAACTGACTGCTCCACGAGTGAGTTTGTTTGTCGTGTGTTGTTGAACGAGTTATGGTCGCGCGGGCGCAAACCGACTGCAAGGGGTTAGGACCACGAGGGCGCCGGCCCAACCAGGGTCTGGAATACCGCAAGAAGGGCCCTACGGCGGGTAAGGGGAACGGTGCGGCCTGAGTCGGCGAGAGAACGGCGGATGGATCGGGGGCTTAGTGCTGGGCTTGCGAACGACTCGCCGCGAAGAGGGACGACCGACCGAATCCTGGAGGCAAATATGGAGGATTCGGGTATCGCAGTCGGTGACGGACTCTGCCTTCATTTAGAGGACCACCGCCCATGCGGCGGCTCCTGGGCTTGGCCTTAGGCATTGAAGACCGACGGACGGGCGGACGGACAAACGGTCCAAGAGCAAATTGCGTTTGCAGTTCCATCCACAGGCTTGGCTGACCCGGTTGCTGGACCGAGCTAACTCGACTAGACGGGAGCCGAGCGAGCCACAACAGCCGTCGCTCCTACCGTTAGCGCTACACCAACAACAACCACGTATTTATATTGTTGTATACGGTCTATGATTACGTCGACGGGGACGGCAGCGTGAGTCTTGACCGGGTTCAGCTCGTCTTCGATTCAGCTCCATAGGGGACTGAGGAGGAAGCGGAGAGGGGGAGTACGCAAAAAGAAGACTGCTGCCCATGGGAGCGGCGCGGGGGAGAAACGATGGCAATTGTCGAAGATTTTGCGTCTGCTTCCTCGCTGGAGAATCTTCTGATTTTCATCTGAGCTTCGTCTCTTCACTCCCGAGACAAGTTGTCCGCACGGCTGTCGAGGGGACGAGAAAGCACTTCGGATGAATCGGCGGCGCTTGTGGAAGAAGCGGCGGTAGTGGCGGCGGCGGCGGGGCGGCTGTTCGATGCTGCTCATAAATGCAGAGGTCCTCCTCCGAAGTAAATTTGCATTTTAATGACAACTTTAATACCTCAAGGACCTCTCGGCGTATTCACTATGCTTGGAATTAGCTAATTAATTTCCTTCTTCTGCTGCTTCGCCTCCGCCGCCACGCTGTGTCGCCGTCTCCGTCGTTGTTGCTGCCGTCGTCGCTGTCGCCCGAATTCCGAGAGTCGACCCCACGAATCAGTCTCATGAAGACGCTGCTCGACTTCCTGGGCGCACTCAGGCATATCCCGAGTCGTCTCCCCCCCTTCCCTCTAATCAAAAGTCTGTATTTGATCCCTAGTTCCCAAGCCGGATCATACTGCTAGCCGCATTTATTATTTTCCATATTTTCGGAAGAATCTTTTTCACTGCAAATTCCATTGGAGGAGAGGATTCACGATCCGCTTTCGAGGGAAGATGTCCCCTTCACATATGGTCGGGAAGTTCTTACTCTATGGTTTTCGACCTTTGTCAGATCACGAGCTCTTTCCTCCTCCTGTCTTGCTCCTTTCTCTCTCGTTGCCTTCGTCGGATCTCCGCGTGCGGGGTTTCCTCATTACGTGAGTTGAGTGAATCCCGGTAGACGCACAAGGACACTCGCGCGGCTCGAGTCAGACCCTCGTTTTTCGCTGTCATCCGGTTTCTCGAACGTAATTAAAATATTTCCTCCATAACGACTCCCGCGACGTATGCTGCCGTCATCGTCGCTGCCAGTGCTTAATGGCTTTCTCTCCACTGACTCAAACGTCTCTCGCCGCTTCTCCCGACGTAATTCCGCCCCCGCTGTCCTAGCGCCTTTTCTGATTCCGTACCTCGCAGGCTCTCGGTGTCTCGTCCTCCTCAGGTCTTAGCTCGTCGTCTCACGTTCCATTCCGATTCGGAGCGCCAATCTCCCAAGCTCCCTCGCTTGTTCCTCAGTGTCAACCGACATGAAAAGACTCGGGCTTCTCACTTAATCACCTAATTCGAGGTGTCGACCTGTCAAGTCACACCTGATCTCACTGCCGCCGCTCCGGTGTTTCAAGACCGGGAGAGACTATGAGAGCGAGATCAGAAACAGTTTCGTCATCGAGATACCTAAGGTCGTGCAGCCATTTACGTGGGCAAGAATCATCAAGTATATTTGATAGTTTCCAATAATTATCAGCGATAATTACGTCTAGAATGATTATCGATTCTTCTTTATCACGCTGGCAGATATCGTCTCCGGAGAATCGATTTCAATGATATCACGATCGGAGAGACCTGTGTGCGAGACACACTCTGTACTCTGAACGAAGCGTTCAAGTTCCGTCTCCGGCAGATGTAGCTCCTCTGCGAAGATCAACTCCGGCGTTTTCTAACTCAGGCTTATTCCTCTTCCTTTCCAGAAAGCGGTGGTTCAGGGTTTGGCGTGTTGCGTAAGAACCAGACGGCAGTTGGAGTCGGGGTGGGCGTCGGAGGAGAATGTGTCCACCTGTCCGACATGGACTGCAAGGACGCTGGTGCCCACCTGCTCAAGAAGACCAACGAAGGGTACTACGCCACTCCATACGCTACCACCAGGCTTTCGGCCCTAAATGGACACCATCAAGCAGCGAACCAACTCCTCTGCCAGCAAGAGCAGAGGAAGTTCTCCGTTCCGCTCGGAGCATCTTCCGACTGCTTCAAACAGGTGAGCTTCCTTCCGCAGATCTCTTTATTTTTCCGCACCGTACCACATATACGCCGATGTCCTTCCACGGAGTCGTCCTTGAACGTTCATATGTCTAGTTTTCCTGGTTCCGGACGGAAGAGTGAGAAAAGGAGAGAGCTGTCCCCCCGAGTCAGAGATAGGCGCGCGTTCCGCGCGGAAAGCAAACGGGTTATCCGCATGCGCAGATATCCAGGTCTATTTTTAGAGCTCCGCTTGAGCAACACGGGCTATGTATAAGCAACAACGTTTCGGCATGAACTACTGCGAATCCAATTCCTGACCGGGGAAAGGGGCATGTCAACCCAACGTTGAACCAGTGAGGCTTGGAAAAAGAGAGTTGAAGAGAGGGAAGTCCAACCAGGGCAAGGGTCAGTGAGCAGCAGCGGCGCGGCGGTGGCGCAGCAGCGGTAGAATCAGGACCTACTCAAGCTTGCAAGACTCGAGATGTCCCAACACATTCTCAGGAGGCCGGGGCTGCCTGACCAAGCGATACCACGGCTCCGTTTCTTGATGCTGATCTTCAAGTTGAAGCAACCGCAAATTCGAAAATGCTTCTTCAAGCACTTTTGCCCCAGCGAGCCGAGCGCCCAGCCGACCAACTTTAGCAACTTTCCAGGAGCATGACTTCTACCCATGCCCTTGTTTCTTCCGACGATGCCCACACCAGCACCGCCCGAGCCCCCGGGTGCCTCCCTGGCCCCGTTCCCGGCTCTCCGATCCTCCCTCGCCCCTGCACATTCTCAGTTTCTCCCTCAGCCCGTCCGCTCATCCGACTCAGTTTGTGAGTTGGGCTCGTCGAACATCTCCCAAGACGCTAGCGAACTCGCTCGATGGCTGTCGATGGTTGAGTGCGTCACCCCTCGTCCCTCGATTGCTTCGGAGAAGGTCCCTCGTTTTCCCCTGCGTACACTTTTTCCCTCGTTCTTCTTGTTCGAGCGCAGGCAGCCTCGAGCGGCAGACCTGATCGGAGATTAGCTTAGACAGCGTCTTCAAGGCCTGAAATGAATTGAGCTAACCAACTATCTTGATGGAAAATGATCTTGTCGCTCGCTTACTCAGGCGCCTTTGAGTGTCTTCTTGGCTTTTTTTCCGCTGAAGGGAGTAGAAAAAAATCCAGCCTTGGCAAGCACTTCAAAAACGCTTTCCGAGTCCTTCGTTTCATGAGAGAGCTTCGTTTCAGTCTCTCGTTTAGCGGCGCAGTCCTGCACCGATTCCATGAAGCGCCGTTTCCCTCCTCGGCGGCTCATTTCTTCTTCGTCTTTCCCGGCTCTCAGATCCCCTGGCCTTGTTCCCTGACCGCGATTATGCGTTCAGTCATTCATTCCTCCCGGAACTTTTCCCCGACGGATCCGAGATAGTCGGACGACGAACTCGAAGTATCGGTGGGAACCGTTCCCGACTGGGCCGGGGACGAATTCCACGACGCTGCAGACTCGATACTCGTTCACTATTCAACCGTGGCCGTCCATCTAATTCCATTTCAAGGACATCTAGAACCAGGCGTCCGTCGTCAGCAATAGTATGATCGTATTCAATATCGTTCAATCGCTCGCCCATCTGTCGGATCGGGACCTAGTCGGCTAAATTACTCCCCCGGGATAAATTCATGTCGACCACAGACACGTATGGCGGCCTAGCAAAGTGGTTCGTTGGCTTAGGCCCTGACTACATGACCGACATCACTAAGCTGCCCCTGGCCAGCATCGGCGGGCTCTCGAGAACCCCACGGACAGCCAGCAGCTGCAGCGACACCACTCGAGCCTATTAGTTCCTGCTAATGGGATTAAAGAAAAAAGACAACCGAACAGGAAGAGCCAGCGAAAACAGCATGGGCTAACGTCAATGAAAACACCTGTATTGAGTCCGGAGCGAGAAGTTGCCCGAATCGAAAAAAACAGGACCTGCGGGACATTTACGATTCTGGCGCGACGTCGTCACGGCTCCCGATGAATGTGTCAGTCGGGCGCCGACCCAATTCGTGTTTCGGGCATCATACACATCGGGCGAAGGTGACGAGGGCTCTGCCACGACCATCGGGGATTGAGCCGGTGCAGTACGCTGAAAAGACGTGGACTCGTGATGGACGTCGTTTCCCTCTCCGTCGTCGTCTGATGTCAGCCGAGCTGGCTGGCTGGCTCGCTCGCTGCTCAGTAGGTTCTTGCTCTATTCATAACAAATCCTGCTGAGCCTTGCCCGAATCTCACCGCCAAGACATACAGGACCCAGCGACAGGACCGAATTCACTGGAGCATGAAGCCCACCGGGGTGTTACCCATCGGTCGCAGTGGCGGTCGACGACGTGCGTCGTCGTGACAGTGGTCTTGTAAGCAGAGAAGGGTGTTGGTTCTTTGGTAGAGAAGGCCTGGATGTCGTTAAAGAAGGAGGGGACTCGAGGGAAGGGCGTAGGTTGTGAGGGATGTTCGCTTCGACAGCAATGGGGGGAGCTGGTGAAAGGAGGAGCGACAGAGAACGGGTTGCCTGGTGCTCCTGGAACAAGAACAGAACCAGGATGACAAGACCACATCGTTCAACGTCCCTAACAACGTCTTGTCCGAGTACCTCGAATTTTCCCCAATCCCGTTGGTGAACTGCCGATACCAGGTCGGCTCCGGGTGTCATGCCAAGATCGATCCCGTGGCGTCCCCTCGAGCTTCAGCTCCGAGTGTCATTAGCTTTCTCGAGAGAAGACTTTCGATCTTCGAGAGAATCAATTCATGCAGAATAATGATCTTATTTTCCATATCATAGGTAGCACAAACTAAAAACCCAGGCTCTCATAATTCCAAAGGCTTAGGACCGTGTTTGAGGGTAACGCATTCGGACGACCGCGCGGCCCTGAGCGAGCTCGTGCTAAAGTAACATTCAGTCAGACACAGTCGGGGAGCATTGGGCTGTGGCATGCAAACGTGAATTACTGCGAATCTCGGCGCAAATACGTTTGTGCATGAACTCGATTGCATGCGCGTGCCAGCGAGTCTTCGTGGGGATAGCTCCACGCTGATGCCCCCGGGAAGAAGATGAGGACTGGCCGGAGGCATCGTCGTCAATGAACGCGTCGGTGTCGGTGTGTTGGCTACCTGGGACGAGGCAACCCACCAGGCCGAACACCATTCGACGGAGACGTCACCATAGGTCAGGGCCTCCCCCTCCCCGCCTGAGCCTATCGAGCCGGAGGCTGCTTCTTCGCTGGAAATAAGATGAAGGACTTGTTCTTGCATCGACGTCGGACTGACGTCGCTTGCTTCCTTCGTTGACTCATGCAGCTCCCCACACGAATGTCACAACCGCTCGCCAGATACATGTACGCAGAAATATATCTATCTGACGGTGCGTTTGTATGAGTCGCCTGTGCGAATAGAAAGTGTGTGTGCATGACCTAGCCGCCTCCTGCTGAGTGCATTCCGGACGACACCTACCTGAAGGTGCACGCCCACAGGCTCGCGCCAATCAGACCAGGGCTCGGTATGACCGATGAATGCCCCGGTTCCGGGAAGAGGGGACGGAAGATTGATAAAAAGAGAAAGTGAGGAAGGGAACTCGCGATTGAATCAGATATAGACACGTACCGTCCTTGAAAGCGTAGCGGGAACCGAGCGACGACGATCAAAGCAGAGGGAGGCTTCTGGAGAAGGAAAATAGAGCTCGACGAGGAAGAGTCGTCGTCACCGCCATCGACGACCAAAATGCGATAAGGTCACAATGGAATGTCCCGTTGTTCTGCGGAACGATGCGGGGCAACTCGGCTGCTGGCGATACGCGTCATCTAGGCATCGTCTCGACCGTCGCCGTTGTCGTCAATGACATCGTCATTGGCTCCGCCAGTGGCGATCGCGACGGCGGCGCACATTAAGCAACGGCGGGAATTATTGTTTGCGGGTCGGCATTCATGGAAACGCTCGGACAGCGATGTCGTGTGACGATCAATTGCGATCCATCGATATTAGGTTCGGATCGTCGCGTCCGCTTGCGGTTCGCGGGAAGAACTCCAAAATGAGGGCGCTCGAAGATTTTCGCCTTCTTCGAGCTCAAACTCCGCATCGGGACTCGGGAAAGTCGCGGCTTTTCTAGGAACTTCGTCAATTCGTAGCACCTTCATACCAAACCTTCTTAATATACGGCATGTGACACGCCTGACCATGGGGACTACATATGAACATAGATGGGGAGATCCAGCTCGCCTCCCGGGAAACGGCGGAAATCGGAGACACTGACTCCGCTTTAATCTAAACGAGTTCTTTCTCTCCGCAGAACGCGTCGGAGGAGGAGTCTTCGTACGCGACGGTAAAGCGGACGCCTCGTCAGATCCGGCAGTCGGATTTCAACATTTACAACTACCCTGCAGGAACAACGGGGACCATTATGCGGAGCCCGGACGACATGTCCGACCTGGATCCGCAATCGATGCAGTGGGAAAGCGCGGGCTGCGGCAAGAAGTATCGAGCCATTCAAGGTACGTACTCGAACCACTGGAGCTAATATCCGTCGGACGGAGCTCTTTAAGCGTCAATGGGCTGATATCACCAGCGTTCCGAGGCGAATGAGCGAATCAGTAGGTAAGAAAGAATAAGAGGAGGGCGGAAGAGGGGGCGAAGGCCAAGCAGGTCCGACGAGTCGGTTCACTTCGCTTTTCGCTTAATTACCCGGCAGCAGAGGGAGTCAGCGCTCGCTCACCCTCCAGCCAGCCTGCCTGCCTGCCTGACCTAACTACGTGAAAAAGGAGTCCCGTTGACTCGTAGGAAAAGCAGCGAGACGGGGACCCAGCCTGGGGGAGGAGGTAGAGGCGTTCCTAGAACTCGTTAACGTTTGCCCTAGTGAACAATTCACTTTTCAAAGCCAACATCCACTCTTTAGTAAAGTAGTCGCCAGCAAGAGAGAGCAAAGTGGGCCTGAATTTACTCTGCGTCCCCTTTGAAGCGCTGCTTCACCCCTCTCGGTCCCTCCTGATCGCCTCCCCCCATTCCCAATCCTTTCACGGAATTATCGTCGTGGACCCGATGGGCTTCCACTTTTCACGTGTTGTCCGATCTCTCGTGGGAAAAGACTGTCCCCATCCGACGTCCGGAGCCTCCGCACCTCTTTTGACCTTCCGTCCCGCCCTTTTCCCCTCGCCCCCGACTCTTGCTCCTCGACTTCGCTGCTCGTACCGAGCTCTGACGTCCTTTCGGTCCTCTTCGTATTGCGTCCCTCGGCTCCGAATTCTCGAAACTCTTCATCCGCGCCCCCCTCACTGATTTCCATAGCCTGATCCTGCTTCCCCCTCGTCGGTCCAATCATTCGCACCCTGACCCGACTCCAGTCGATCGTCGGCGATGCTGACTCTTCTGAAGGAGGCTTTGAAGTGGCAACGAGACCCCGTTGGATCACTCGATCTCGACTCGGTTGTTTGTAAATCCCTTCATGATTCCCTCGACCTAGTTTCGCCGGCGAACCCAAAGAACTTCGTTGCTGGACACGAGTTGTCGATGACGATCTACGAGCACGTTTCGCGAAAATGAGCTGACGCCGTCCTCCCCTCGCTCCCCCTTGAGGAGAAGCTCTCGCTCCGAGTAATCGTGATACAAAAATTCATTCCCTTCTCGATGTGTATGTTCCTCGAGACGAAGCTATTTGTCATGACGGCATCGTTGACGTCCTTCGCCTTGCCGTTCGTTATTCGAATCGTCGCTCAGTATCCTTCGGAGAGGAAAAATACCTCGCCATCCGACTTCATGGAACTCGGACCTCCCCCTTCTCGTTTGCGACACGCGACCTTCCGACTTCAATCCGTTTCCCAACCGGGTCAATACTTCCTTGGTCCTGGCGTCGATTCTCTCTCGCTTCAGGACATCCTACTACTTGCCATGTCCCGCGTCATGTATGGCTCCCCCTTCTCTCGCGTCCCCGTATCCGTATTCCGGGGGATCAATATTTCTCTCAATTTATTTCTGTCATTTATCGACATCCGGGAGGATCACCGCAGACTTGTGAAATAGACGAAGGACTCCAAGAGCGGGAGTGGGAGACTTGCGAACCTCATATATAACAGCTATGATCTCTAATGCCAAGGAATTATTGCAGGACTCGAGCACATGGTGAACCACCACGGACACCCGTACTGAAGAGTACGACCGCCTATGAATAGAATTGCCAACCAAAAAATATGATAAATTCTCGAATGAGATGTAATATATAGGAAATAAGTGTGTTGTATGATTGCTCTGTTATGCTCTGGTATTGATTAAGAGGATGATTAATTAAAAGAAATGATAAGTGAAATGATGCAAGTTATGATGATGACGGCAACAACAACGAGGATACGAAAAATGATCACTATGAGCATGTAAATAGTGTAAAAATAATTACGAATTACGACTATGATTTATAAAAATTCCTGATGCTGCGTGGAAAACGGTGCTGACTTGCGAGTGAGTAACCGAGAGCACTTCGCTGACCCGGGCCCGAGTTGGCGACGAGCGGGGGAAGAGCAGAACCAACGACTTGTTTGTTCCGAAAATGGAGATTTTTTCCTCGGAGAACTCCGACGACAACGAGAATGAGTAAATCAACGAAAGGCGGAGGATGCGAGCAGGTGGGGAGAGATTGAGATGGAGATACCTCTGAGAGAGTCGAGAGCGGAACGGCGGGAAAAAAGACAGGACTGAACAGAGCAGCAGAAACGAGAGAGGATCGGTGGAACGCTGATAAAAACGCTGGGGAGCAGCTCGAGAAAGGAAACCTTTGTTAAACTTTAACAAGCCCTAACAAGAAACTGTTGTGCTGGAGATTTCCGTGCAACAAAATATTACCTCAGGCTTATGAAGTTTAATGAAGGGTTTAAGATTCGCTCTCGTATTTGTGACGCCTCCACCAGATTGCCTGTCTCGTTGCTTACATACTCGCTGGTTGCACAGAACGAGACGCTGCCGCGTCCGACAAATGATGCGGCGCCGCTCTCCCGTCCCCCGCAACACCAACGCGACGCGCACTCGCCGAAAAGGAACGTCGGATGTCTCAAGTAGAGATAGCTCCCCTCCCATATTTGAGTTGGAAAAACTGCCTGTATGTCTCGACTGAATATGGAACATCGTTCGTGAGTCTCGAACTCGCGAGACGCTTCACGGTTTCATATTTGATTTTCTTTCTCCATGTCTCTCCTCACGCGCGTCTCCGGGATGGCCGAGCGGGGAATAGACCCCCTGTCCGAAGGTCGAAGCGCTCCTGCCAATAGAGAAACACCATGCTCCGCGAGGCCGAAACACTCGACATATCCGGGTCCTCACTCTTAGAGGAAATGTAGTCCTCGACCGAGTGAGTGGTTGGACTACTGTTGCCTCAGACACTTGTCTCCTGCCGCCAGGACCCGCCAACCAACCGACCAATCGACCTACAAACCGACGAGGCGAACGCCCTTCGTCGTTTCTGGAAGCGTCTCAGGAGCATGAGGGTTTTGAGAAGTCGGACCGCGTTCATCTGCCGTGCCCCCACCTGCCTACACCAATGACCCATGATCCCACAAATCCACGCTCTCCTCTTATTTCGGAGAGAGATTGTTGCGTCTGTTGCATATTCTTTATTTGCAAGTGTAAATGTGGAAATATAAGATTTTGAGGCGAATTGAAATATAGCCAAACGACATTTGAGAATAAAATGGGGGTGAACATTTGAGAAAATAGTGGAGGTCTCTTCTCGATCGACTGCCCAGACGCCGCATGAGTTTCTCGTTCAAGGTTTATGGATCGGTTTCAAGGACTCTCCATCCCGCCAAAATTCCCCAACCACGAAAGAAGTTTCAGCGGAGGCTTTTGTGGATATTGTTTGAGATTACATAGTCGCTTACTGGGCTCCTCGCCTGCCTGCCTGCTTGCTCGCCTTCCTGGCTCTTCAGAGTGTTAGGGAAAGCACCATTTTAGTGGGAGGTTAATCACAGTCTTTAGGAGAGTTCCCGTCTCTTCCTGAGGGGGAGTGGGGCCGCGTTTGCTCGGTCTCTTTAGTCCCCCCCCCGCTGCCTTCCTTTGACAACTCTCGCTGCAGCCTCGGCCGCCGTCACCGGCCCTCCAGGTCGAGCGACTCTAAGCATATTGAAGCTATTCCCTCTCTGGAGGCGAGATCTGACGTTATGGAGCCGCCGGCGGATCGCTCCCTCGTCTCCAGCTCCGAGCCTGTAAACAACAAGCACCCGAGTTCTCCTTGGTGACCCTCACACTTGTCGGGCGGTGAAAGACATAATTATCCAACCGATATTTTATTCACGAGCTTCCTTCAAGCGTTTCGGGGAAGGCCTCTTCGAGTCCCGACGGCTCACGGTAGCATACGGCGCGGCTTCCTGTTCCCGGAATCCGAAGAATATCTTGTCCCCAAGTGAGGCGCGCGGTACAGATCAGCGGGGACACCCGGGCCTTCGATGGACGCCCGATTGACGGAGAGAACCAGATAGAGCCGAATAAGGTATGACGAGTTCATGGAGCATCGCTCGTCGATCGAGCGGTGCCGCTGAAAATGTTCGAGAAGCCACGCCAAAGCTGGAGCGGCCGTGAACCTTCCCGAGGACAGTCAAGAGCTCGTAGTCGAGCTAATAAGAGACCCCAGAAGGAGCAAGCTAGAGAACAAAAAAGCAGATGGAAAGTTCGAGGAGAAGCAATCTCTGCCCACCTGCCGCAGGCAATGTGGTCAGCCCTCCAATAATTATTATTGCTGCCGCCGTAGCGGACGCCCCCTGTTCCTCGCGGGAACAGAACCTCGTTACCCCTCGCTCCTCCCGCATCTCTCGTGCCGATTTTTCTCTATCGCTTTTCGCTCGCCATCACCTTCGTTCTCTCTCTAGCCCCCAAGAAGCTTCCCGACGTTCTTTCCGAAGGACCATGTCGAGATTGCATCGCGCGATGGGATTCTGGATTCCTCTTGGCGTTTTTTTGTACCTTGGAGAAATGAATCGTCGTTCTTCCTAGGTCGGAGGGCTCGCCCTCCGATGGCTCCTCTTCCCGAAGATTCCTGAAGTTTCCCCTTGCTCGGAGAACTCTACGACTCCACCGTTTTGAAAAGAGATGTCTCGGTGAGATCGAACGACGAGGTCGATGTTCGCAAGGGGCTCCCAGAGAATTTATCTGTGCGCGTCACCGTCGGTCCAAAATCGTCTCCGTCGGAGAAAAAATCCCAAAGTCTCTCCCTGAATAGGCGTTAGCGTTATCCACGCAAGTTCCTGAGAGCCGTCATTGCGCTTCCGAAGTGGAGATGCCACTTATCGGTACACACAATAACACTTTTCAGAGTTTTGACTCGGCCCCGCGGAGGGAGCAAAGTTCGAAAACTTTTGAGTCTTCAGGGCCGGGAGCGGCCGTTCATGGCCGCAGAACTTCAGAAGGTAGAAGATGAGAGGACACCCCGAGTTCAGCATCCCTATTCGAACTGTGTCGACGTGTTCACTGTAATTCCCCGAGATTCCATTCCGTGATTCCGTACGGTGCCCATTCCCTCCACGCAATGAGTCCAACGAGATGTTTGCTCTCGCCCTCCGTCGCGGCGCTTCCAGGTGGCTCAGCAAATGCTGGTCGGGTATTAGGTAGGTGGGTGTTGGGTGTGTGCCGAGTTGTTCCCGGGGAGAAGTCTTTGATCTTGCCGCTTCACTCAATGAATTGGCTCAATTTACTGCCAGGGGAAGCCCGCCGGGCGCAGCGTCGTCGATTCTCTGTTAATCAGTTTGTGCGTCTCTCCACCCGTGGCTCGGGCGTTCCATGCTTCGTTCGAACGGTAAGAAGTTCGTGAGAATGCTCCTGTCATCTCGCAACGTCTTCCCTGGCTCAGAGCTCTTGTTCTTCTTCCGCGGCAGATCGAGAGGTCGAACGTCCTGTACCAGGATGCTTCAGTGCGGACTCTAAATTCCTATTTCCCATCCGACCGGTGAGATCTCGGTAATTTCTCCGAGAGTTCGTTCTTCATGCTTTCCCGGAGATCGGTTGTTTCCGATTCTGCGCTTCGGTGAATTTTTCAACCTCATCCCATCACCCCTTCCGCCTCTGGATATGCCTGTTGATATCCTTCCTCTCGGGTATTGCTTCGGCCTTCGACAGACCGAGTGAGTGACGATTGGAAATTGAAATTAATTTCCTCTATTTTTTCGAGAGACCCGTCCGTAAGCTCGTGGCGCGATTGCAGACCTCGTTTATACGAAGGCGCAGAGGAGAAAGGGACGGGGACGCACTCCTTTTGACTGTCCCTCCAGGGACGAGCAGCAGGGAAATCGGTCTCCTTCATTAAGTTGTCCTCTTGCCCCGGCGCTGTCTTATTCCGTTCTTCTCTCGTCGAATCGAATGCTCAACAGATCCTCTGTCCCCTACTCGCACTCCTGACTCCCTCTCTTCCAGACGGGTTTCGACTCCTTGAAGCTCCTTTCTCTTGCTGTTCTCGCACAGCTTCGCCTCTCCGTCAGTCTGTCCGTTTTCGCCTGAGGACGACGTTTGTCGGTCGTCCTCTAGCAGCTTCTTTGAAAGTGATATTAATTCGTTGCCCTTCCCCTTGTTCTCCTTCTTTCGGCTCTCCTGACGACTTCATCAAGACGACGAGCCCCGGGCGCCTAAGTGCCCACTCCCTAACTCACCCCCTCGACCCCCGCGACCTTTCCCGATCTTTCTCATGCATTCAGCGAGCGGACCCCGCTCGCCCCTCGCCGCTCCATCGAACTGCCGTAGTGCTTTTTCGAGGACATTTAATAAACTGATTGCCCAGCTGCGCGTTCTATATGGCTCGCTGACTGACTGAGTGACTAGCACCATTCCCGGCTGGGCCTCGATGCGACTGTCCATCGCCTTGCCGAAATCCAAAGGGGGCTCAGAGCCGAGAATAACAAGCGGAGATTGCTTGTTTCCTTGGAATTTAGGCGGACCCGGTGTCGTGGATGCATCTCCCAAGATTCCCCACGCGGTGACTGATTGCCGTGCTAATCCAGAATAATAGAGCAAGAGAAAGTCAGACACCGACACACCAGGCAATGCCAAACCTCGTGTTCGCTAGCGTGGATGCTTCCCCATCACGGGAATCGAAATTGGAGCAATTCTGGTCGACGCAAAGATGAGAAATTAATCTGATCCCTCCCATGAGGCCCAGGTGTCGCTTCAGAGGATGTTTCCGTTCCCCAAGACCATTCTGCAGTGATCCGAGCATATTCAAGATCTCGTAGAACTCGCCTGTCTGCGGGGCGGGCTCGAGCACTTCGCTCGCTGTGCGCCGTCTGTACATCGAGTACGTCATTCGTCTGAGCAGGAAACTACGTGGGG